CTTCTAAATCCAGATTAGCCTTTAATATATATTTTCATAATTTTAGATAATTACTTTAATGTTTTTTATATAGATAATTAATTAATTTATTGAAAAAAATCATCTATTTGTTTCAGGGAAAATGATAATTATTTCAGAAAATACTAATTAGATGAAAATTGTATATCCTTCCTTAAAACCCCAAAACAATATTTCCCCCAAACCAAAAAATAAAATAAAACCTTATAATAAACCTGAAAAATTAAGTAACAAAACGTGTACGTTAAGTGTCTATATAACACACTCACACCATCCCCATTACTCTCCATCATCTCTCTCACTTCACAACTCACAACAACAAAAATGTCTCCCATTACAAAACCACTCTTCTTCTTCATCTTCTTCCTCAACTACATCTCTCTCTCAACCTCACTCTCCCTCCACTTCCCACTAACCTCTCTCCCTCTCCCACCTTCCACCACCTTCACAACCTCCCTCCTCTCCCGGAAAAACCCATCTCCGTCGTCTCATCCATACAACTTCAGATCAAGATTCAAATACTCAATGGCTTTAACCATCTCATTACCTATAGGAACACCACCACAAGCTCAACAAATGGTTCTTGATACTGGTAGCCAACTTTCTTGGATCCAGTGCCATCGCAAGAAGAAGCTTCCACCAAAGACATCTTTTGACCCTTCTTTGTCTTCTTCTTTCTCTACCTTACCTTGCTCTCACCCTCTTTGTAAACCAAGAATCCCAGATTTCACACTTCCCACTTCTTGTGACTCGAACCGGTTATGTCATTACTCTTACTTCTACGCTGATGGTACTTTTGCTGAGGGTAATCTTGTAAAAGAGAGAATAACTTTCTCAAATACCGAAATTACCCCTCCTTTGATTCTTGGTTGCGCTACTGAGTCTTCTGAAGATAGGGGTATTTTGGGAATGAACCGTGGTCGTCTCTCTTTTATCTCTCAAGCTAAGGTTTCGAGGTTCTCTTATTGTATTCCACCGAAATCGAACCGGCCCGGTTTTACACCAACCGGTTCGTTCTACCTCGGAGATAACCCGAATTCGCACGGTTTTAAATACGTTTCTTTGTTGACTTTTCCTGAAAGTCAACGAATGCCGAATCTTGATCCGTTGGCTTATACTGTACCGATGATTGGGATTAAATTCGGTTTAAAGAAGCTGAATATTTCCGGTTCGGTTTTTAGACCCGATGCAGGCGGGTCGGGTCAAACGATGGTTGATTCAGGATCCGAGTTTACTCACTTGGTTGACGCAGCTTACGATGCGGTGAGGGGAGAGGTAGTGAGACGTGTAGGGCGGAGATTAAAGAAAGGTTACGTGTACGGTGGAACAGCTGACATGTGTTTCGATGGTAACGTGGCGATGATCCAACGGTTGATAGGTGATCTTGTGTTTGAGTTTATTAGAGGAGTTGAGATACTTGTTCCGAAAGAGAGGGTTCTTGTTAACGTAGGAGGTGGAGTTCACTGCGTTGGAATCGGACGGTCGAGTATGCTTGGTGCAGCTAGTAATATAATCGGGAACGTTCATCAACAAAACCTTTGGGTTGAGTTTGATGTAACCAATAGAAGAGTTGGTTTCGCTAAAGCTGACTGTAGCAGATTCCTCTGAAGAAACGGGTTTTATTCAGATACGGTTGGGAGTAGAGTCTTATGGTGGATCGATTCGTTCGATTGTGTTTAATCGGACGGTACATAGTTTTTTGAAGATGTCCTACAAAAATAATTAAAAGTGTTCATGTAGATTTTTGTGGTTGTAATGTTTTTGTATATTATATGGTTCATATTAACTTGTTAAATTTAAATATCTTTATATTTGTCACTGCGGCTTGTTGTTGAAAAGACTTGTGGATGAAAGAAAAAAAAAATTGAAAAAAGGAAAAAAAAATTGAGATTTAGATTTGAGAATATTTCAGAAGTGCTTTTGTTTTATTTTTATTTTATGGTGCAACTTTTCTAGTACAATAATCCAAAAGAGTTTAGATTTACTTTAAGACGAATGTCTAAATTTGTGGCTACTAATAAAGTGAAGTAAACTATTTAATAAGATGTATAGTTTAACTCAAAACTATGAAAGTACAATAGAAAATTAATTAATAATTAATCAAATTTTATACTAATAATTGTTAAAGTTAATATTGGATATTTTTACATAGTTAAATATAATTTATTTTCATTTGGGAACATTTTCAAGTATTTTTCATTATAATATAATCATGAAAAACTTGAAACAAAAATTATTAAATAAAGATGCTAGTATATTTTATGTAATTTTGATTATTTTCATAGTCTATAATATACACATTTTAATATTTTCTACAAAGATTGAAACTATGTTAATTTTATAATCGGTATACTAAATAATATTTTAAAACTATTTATTATAAATATGCAATTTAATTAGTTTTTCTATATATTTCGGTGATCGCTGTCAGTAAATAACATTTTTTAACTTTGTTTACTTTAATAGATTTTTGTTATTGTAATCTATATATGGTCATAGAACTCTGATGGATGTTCTTTTGTCTAACTAGTCTCCCACCAAAATCCACATTATAACATTTTAGTCACCAACTAGTCAATGCTAGTGGTTACAATTATTGTCATGAACATATATATTTGATTGGAAAATAACTTGCTTACAAGTTACAACATAATCCTTGATTACATAAATCAAAAATAAGTTTAAGAGAAGAGACAAACAAGCATGGCTTTGTATTTTATTGTCTCTATGATATTTAGTAAATTATTAGTAAGACAAACCGAAATCAAGATCACAACATCCAAAGATGCAATGGATGAACCACAAAGATACATGTGACAAATAAAGAAAACTAATATCAATTAACAACACTCGGACAAGGTCACAAGGGAGATGTACCATATTATATGATTCTTTTGATCAATCTATTTTTGGGATTAAGCAAATACATTAGTTTTAGAGAATCAATTATATTTGGCGCCGTCAAACCCAACACAAAATCTAGAATATGAGTTATAAGACAAGTATTAAACCAAAATATAGTTAGGATTTTATTATGTAACCCTAAGACAAAATACATTTAGCATCAAGCATTGCAACACGACAAAATTATATTTCTTTATATAATATTTGTAAGAAAAATATTAAATTATCTTTACAAAAAATATGAAAACTAATTTTCAGTTAAAAAAATACAAAAATTTCTCCTTTTTTGTTTTTATCTACTATGGTTAAAACTGTAAATCGGAACACTAAATTTTGTTAACGTATTTATTAAAATTTATTTTATCCCATTTTTATCTTTTTCTAAATCTCTAGCGGAATTAGAAAAACCTTAACAGTAATAAGTAAAATATCGGAAAAGTTAGAACACTCATAATTTTTATCAACTGGAAATTAATTACGAGAAGTGCATTGAAACTAGTATTTAAAGTGATTTATAAAAAAATCAACAAATTTATATTATTTGATTATGAATTATAAAACCTCTAATGAAATCTAGTGTTATTTAACTAATAATTGTACACTGTATTTTTTTGGATTTTCCATTACAAAACATTAAATTTTATATCAAAACAAAAACAAAAACAAAAGTATGATACAATTTAAAAATTTGAAAATGTTAGGGAAGTGTGAAGTAGGGGCCAAAGATGAGCTGGTCAGCCTTAACTTTGAGATAGGATTTGAGTCAAGTAGCCGACAGCTTAGTTCCACAACTCTTCTCTTAAACTCATTTTTTTATTATTCTCTTTATTCCCGACATTGACGTTCCTTTCTTCTTTTTTTTTTTCTTCTTATTCTTTCACATTTTAATTACCATCATTGTAGTTTAGTTTTTGGTCTTAATCATCATTGTAGTTTAGTTTTGAAATTCCATAATCAACCTTTTTTTGTGCATCTTCAAATTATCATGGGTTGGTATATGACAAAGGTTTTATTCAGCTTTCAAAAAATTCTAACCATACTCAACCAAAATAGTTTGGTTTGGTTTGTGTTCGGGTTGGTTTATGTTTTGTTCGGTTTTGGCTTTAAATTGGTTTGGTTTTTATTCGATTCAGAAAAGTCAACTAATGTTACAACTTACAAGCCTTTGTTTGATATATAATATATAGTATATAAAGTTTTAGACATAGTTGAATCTAATTATCTTTGAACCATGGAAAATAAAGACATACTACATTAAAATTAAAGTAAATTATTAGAAAAACAAAAAATTAAATCAAACATGCGAAGTTATAAACAAATGTAATGTGGGTAAGGTTATATATTTACAATAATATTATTAATACTAATTAATTAATTAAAAACACATTGGGTTATTGGTTCGCTTCGGTTTACCGTTTGGGTTGAAAAGAAACAGAACCAATTGATTTGAGTGTAGGATTGGGTTTGGTTTGGGTCGGTTGGTTTGGTTTGGTTTAGTTTGGTTCAGTTAAAATGCCCACCCTAAAAGATATGGGTTAAAGTTTCATTTTTATGTGCTTAGGACGATCATCAATAATTCTATGGCAGACATAAAGTGTAGTTGGTACTCAGTCAAAAGATGGAAAAGACTGAAAAAAAGAAAGAATAGGAATCTTCATGCACTAGTGAGGCCACAACAAACCTAGATTTTATTTTACAAAATGACATTTCGTTTTACATATACTCTACATTGTAAATCACTATGACTAAAGTTTATCGTAAAAACGAGTATGGATAAGAGACATTTCTTAACAAATCTTAGCTTTAAGATTTGTTAAGAGACTATGGATAATGATGATCTTAGAGTTATTAAAGTATACTGTGAAAAAAAAAACCATTATTTCTTTGTTAACTTAACTAACAAAACACACTTTCACATTTGGGCCTAACTCATCTGCAGCCCATTTAAAGGAAAAACAACTCTGAGCCCAGAGAGGATCTGCTGAAGCTTCCTATAGGTTCATGATTCATCCAAGCTCAAGATGCAAGTCATGTGTAGTTGTAATATTTCTTCACAAGTCAATTAAACTTTTTATATATATACATATATACTTATGATTTATTACTATTTGTTTAAAATACAAAGCTGGTGAAAATCACAAAGTGGAATTAAAAAAATATAAAAATTTAATCAAACAAAAAAATATGTTCAAAAGAAAGTCCCATCCAGCCTAAAAAGTCTTTAAAGTTTCAACAACCCAAGAAACCACTACTAAAGTTAGCGACGACCACTTTGACTCTTGCCACTTCCTGCCGACCTGACCAGAGCCTCCGCCGCCGCCGCAACCTTAACCGTTCTCCTCCCGGCCTGCGATGCCACGTCATCGCTTCTCCCGCAAACCGTCGACCCTGGACTCATCACAATCATTCCCTTCCACAAACTTCTCTTGCTCACCTTTTTCAAGAAGCCACCATTATAACTCTTGTCATTATTTGTAGTATTATTAGTATGATTGTGATGATGATCATCGCCGTCGTGCCACAAACCATTGCTTGAACTCACTGAGAAGCTAGTATCATCAATGTTAAGCCTCTTGGAGATGTTCTTGATTTCGTAAGTATCAAGAAGACGAGAGTATTGCGTTTCTTGATCCCCACGAAACGATGAGTAATTAGTATACCAAAGAGGAGACTTACTAGAAAACCTATTCTCAGCCAAAACCCTATTCTCAGAGAGGATCAAGTTCTTCGTCGCTTCGATCTTATACCGTGTAGGTCGAGGTGTTCTTGATGCCCTAGTTATATCAAACTCTCTCATCATCGGTTTATCTTCTTTCCTTAAGTACCAAGCCCACGCCGCCGCCTTCACCACCGCCAAATCATCTCCTCCTCCTCCATCATAAACCGTCATAGTCGGCTTTTTCTTCTTCCTCCTCTTGTTACCATTGTTGTTGCTAACGTTCTTCTCGGACATGGAAGGTGAAGAAACGTAGTAGTTGGTAAATGGGAGCATTGTGGAAGGATAGAGAGTTAGATGAAACTTGTGGGATAGTGGCAAGGCTAATGAATATGATGAAAATAAATGTATAAAGAAAAAAAGAAGTAGGTGGTGTTGGTTCTATGCTTTAATGGTCCACCAATGGATACGGCAATCTAAATAATGCCATGGAGAAAATGTTATTTTTTATATTTTGTGTGTTAGTTGGATTTGTGAAATTGCATAGTGCATAGTGCATATCCAACGTATAGCCAACGGTCCCTTATGTATACTTATTTCGTGCATTAATATCTTAATAAGTATGGGACTTCAAGTCCTTGTTATAGACAACGAAAATATATAGAGTTTTTTTTTTCGAAAGTGATTAAATATCATAAATTTGGTTGTCACATTGAAGAAAATACAATTACAATGCAAAGATACAAGATTTAGGTTATGGTCTTAGTAAAGCTTTTTGGTCTTTGTAATGATTAGATTATATTCTTTTAAAGTCAATTTGGCTTTATAGTGGATTAGTGGGGATGATTTGGATTTTGTTGTTGTGTCAGTTTAAGAGTTTTTCTTGTCCATCCAATAGTTTTCGTAATCAATTCAATTTCAATAACATATATGATGGTTCCGTAACGGAATAGGTTTTTGTTAGTTTGTGGAAAATAATGTTTTTATTCTTTTCTTAAGTTCGAACATTTTTGTAAGTGCTCAAGTTTTGAAAATGGTTTTAGACTTAGTAATTGTTAATGGTGTATTGGTGTTTACTATTTCCGTGTCACTGTAATCGATGTTTTAAAGTTATTTCTTCAATTTAAATGACATTTTCAATTTTATAATATTTTAATAGATAAACTAAAAAAAAGTTATGTATTTTTTTAAGTTATGCGTAAAAACTTTAAATATCAGTCAATTAAAATGATGCGCGTTCTTCTTTGTGCGTCATTTTAATTGATCGATGATTTTGAATGACTAGTATAAAGGCTAAGATCCGCGAATTTCTCGAATGAATAGTATAAATAATATAACATTAAGTATAGAATTACAATTAAGGAAAGTGGATTGACATGCATCATTACTAAAATGAATCTAGTTTTATAAAAGGTTTTGTAGATGAAGATGTTTGCTCATTCACATCCCTAGGTTGGTGAGGAAAGTAGAAAGTTGCATACGTTTTCCAATTTCTATATTACCACACACAGTGGTGGTGATGCCTTTCTTTTCTATATCTCTAATTTGTTTAAGATACAAAATGATTTGGGTTTTAAAAAAAAACAAAAAGCAAGAAAATAAGAACCATTACAAGTTTTAACGTGTTCACTACATTGGGCTGATCCATGTGACGAGAGAATTAGATTTCTCACTAAGGGTAATAGAGGCCTTAGATGGATTAGTCACGGCCCATGACAAAAAATTGTAATGTAAAAGATAAAAAGAAACAGGGCCCAACCGGGTTCGAACCGGTGACCTATTGATCTGCAGTCAATTGCTCTACCACTGAGCTATGGACCCAAGCTTGTTACTTTGTATGTTTGCTTCATACAAAAAGAGACAAAGAGCTTTACTGCTAATGATTGGTACCATCTAAGGAAGTAAAGTGTCCTTGGAGATAGTCATATGGTAACAACAACAACACCGACTCAGCCTACCTAGGCTTGAGTCTAGTGATGACATTGTGGTTCAAATAGTCAATGATGAGTATGCAATGATCTTGCGGATCATATAGACAAAAACGCACCAGACAAGACCAGCATTGATGTTACATCATGAAAATAAAAGATCATTAGCCAATAGACCAGCCAAAGCCAGACATATTTGGCTCAAGGGCCGTGAAAAGAGCCTTAACGAAATTGTATCTTATATATATATATTGGACTGTTAATAACTGAGATCTTTTAGTCTCTAGCATTGATACATGAAGAGGCCTTTTGTGAGATCGTATTATTAGTACAAATACTTAAAAAAGGTCAGACAAACATAGCAAAGAGACTTGCTCTTAAGTCTTAACCACATAACCCAAAACCCAAATCACAAACCCCGGCAGTTGCAACTAGCCGGTAAATAAGATAAGCTGTAGGAAAAAGACAATCTTGGAACTTTCAAGAAACCAAATTAGAAGAAGCAATGTTTCAAGACTTTTTTGGATCTCGGTCTTCAAGGGTTCCAGAGAAGTGTGGTTTCAGCAATCATGGAAGTAACAACGTAAGGATCCATGTTTGAAGATGGCCTTCTATCTTCAAAGTATCCTTTCCCTTCTTTCTCGGTATCGCGTCCTACTCGGATCGATGCTCCACGGTTTGCAACACCCTTTAAAACATATCCAAACACAAAGATATCAGTACAAAGATAAAATCTTTACAAATAGAGTAATGTTGTAAATATCTTTTACCCAAAGGAAAGTGTTAATGTCAGCAGTTTCATGGTGTCCAGTAAGACGGCGCTCGTTTCCTTCACCGTAAGCAGCAATGTGCTCCTTGTGTCTCAATCCGAGCTTCTCGATCGCCTTCTTGATCACCTCGTATCCTCCTTCTTCCCTCATCGATTTAGTACTGAAAAAAAAACCATTCACCATTTTTCATATTTCTTCAAAAACATTGTAAAAGGTTAACAAGTTATAAGATTTCATGAATCTTTTTACCTGTAATTGGTGTGAGCACCAGCTCCATTCCAGTCACCCGGGATCGGTTTCGGGTCAAAAGATACAACCACACCAGCAATCTCTGTGATCCTCTGTTTTTAAAACCATCAAAAATTGTGTTTTAAGTTTACATTTCATTAGAATTCAAAGTGAATGGTTTGAGACTGTACCTCCAAAATGTAACGAGCGATCCAAATTTCATCAGAAGCTGAGATACCAACCGATGGGCCGACTTGGAACTCCCACTGTCTCAACAAAAACAATTTGGTTAAGCAAAAATATTGAAACTTTTAAGTCATAAGTGGTTTTTTATAACTTTGTTATGATTACCTGACCAGGCATGACTTCTCCATTGATACCACTGATGTTAATTCCAGCATACAAACAAGCCTTGTAGTGAGCATCAACGATATCTCTCCCAAAAGATTTGTCAGCTCCAATACTACAGTAGTATGGTCCCTGCAAGAGAAGATTCAGACACCGAGAACAGAGAAAAATCGAAGACGAGAAACGAAGAAAAAACCGAGGAAACGGAATGTACCTGAGGGCCAGGGTAGCCACCAATAGGCCATCCAAGAGGCCAGTTCACATCCTTCTGCAACAAAGTGTATTCTTGTTCGATTCCATACCTAAATTCATAGAGAAAAATCAGTATTCAAGAACCATCAAGAAACCGAAAAAAACAGAGGAATTTGGATTAAACCATGGCACTTCAGCTACAACATCAGGGTTGTTAAAGATCTCAGCTGCAGCGTGTCGCTTGTTCGTAGGGATTGGTTCGCCCGCAGGAGTGTAAGCATCACACATAACCTAATCAAAACGTTACAAAACAAGGTTTTAAAAATCTTGTATACCTAAAAAAACAGAACATATACAAGAAAAGACCAAAGTTTAAACAAACTCACAAGAATGTTGTTGCCTCTACGGAAAGGATCCTTGAAAATTGCTTGAGGGCTAAGAAACACAAAAGAAACCAATTATTAAGAAAAAAATCGAAAAGATTTGAAGTAGAAAGAGTAATTTCAAGAAAATCTTGAAAAGGGCTTTACTTACTATAAGATGACTTCACTGTCTTGGCCAGGAGCTTGACCAGTGCTTGAACCATCATAGTTCCATTTCGGAAGCTTTGATGGATCAGTCACAGGTCCAGAGAGAGTCTGTGTAATTCAACAAACCAGAGACTTAGTAATTCAAATCTAATCAAATCTTTACAAGAAAGTTACTAATTTATCAAAGAAAGATTAATTAAAAGTTACCCTGGCTTTGCTTCTCATGTCCATACCAGAACCACCAACCCTGTTTCAAGAAAAAACCAAATTAGAGACCAATGGGAAAGATTGACTTTTAAAACTCATGGTCTTGTTCTCTGGTAAGAACAAGAAGATTCAGAGAGACCCAAATGGGTTAAAAAGCTAGAGGAAGAAGGTAGAAGACGAACCATATGTATTCAGCGATGATTTTCTCAGTGTTGTCTGAGAGGTCAAGGTTAACAAGATCTGCAAGAAGACTCATGGTTGTGAAAAGGGAGCAAGAAGGTTAATGAGAGAGATAAGCAAATCTTGAGATTTGTGTGTGTTTTGGGTTATGAGATGATGTTTTTGGAGTTCGTGGTTGTGGTACTACTTATAGTGCAATGAAGGTATACAGAGATAGAAGGTGACGTGAGGATACTCTGTTTTTTTTCAAACTTTATTATATAATGTGAAATACAGTATTATAAAGTTTTTTTTTTTTACCAATGGAAACTCGGCGTATAAAATTGAAATAGTTTTACTTTATAATTAATTAGAGTTTATAATATAGCATTAAATTGATTGTTGACTTTATTATTATTGGGTTATAAATAAAAAAGTTTCGGTAGGTAGATAATTTATGTAGGTGTTGAATTTTTCGTTCGTATGGGTTGGTGTTTTTTTTACTTTACCAATTGACGTTTTACAAATTTATCATTTTCCAAAAGTAAAAGATGGTTTGAATGGTTGCGGTCGATAAATCCGTATATTGGTTAGATCGTTTTTTATTTAACGTTTCAAATTTCTATTTTTTATGCAACAATTTTTTTCAAACGGAAAAACTTGCAAAAAATTAAAGACTATTTTTACATACAAATAAATTTGGTTTGCGGTAGTTTATTATCCACAAAAAATGATGAAAGTGTTAACGGATTTGTCTACTCAAACTACTATTACCATTGAAACGATATATAAATCAAAAGACCATATAACAAAAAAATTTGTTACCGGAATCTAATGTGACAGATTTTTGTAACATACATAATATTATGAAGAATGTAATTGATCTATTTACTCAAAAAGAAATGGATAGACATGAAGAAAAGAACGTCATTATGATGCTTCAATTAAAATCGAAAAACACCAATTTATCATCATCATCAATGGGTTTGATTACGAAAGATTTTTATTTTATTTTTTTGATATATAAAAGCAAAAAACATCATATGCATAAGTTGTCTCAATCGAACTGGCTAAACCGGTTAAAAGACAAGTTGTGGGAAGATGAATGTACGGCCTCAGGACGTATCGTCCCTACAAGGCCAATCCACGAGCAAGAGCCTTAAGCTGTGAGCCTTACCCAATCATGCATGACTCATCCTTACACACTTTTTTTTTTTTAATTTTATTTTGCTTTTTTTGTGGCCGATTCTACAAAAAAAAAATTATTATAAAATCAACATTACAAATTTTGAAGTGGGACAAAAGAGATTCGATATTTTTTTTTTTTTTTTTTCCTGAGCTGTTGTTTGTTGAAGATATATATACTATATAGTATTAGTTGTTATTTTACGTGTTGAATATGTGATATTAGGAATTTGTATTAAAAATATAGCTCAGCTTTTATTACAATATCACTACATGTTTTTTTACGATTTTTCCTACTAAAATTTTTGGTAAGAAATAATCCTACCAAATTTTTACAAAAAAACAGATATCGTAGGAAATCGATAGAAAGATTACTACAAAAACGGAAGTGAGACAATTGTAGAAATTTTTAACTAAAATCCTACAAAAAACTTTGTCGTAGGAAATCTTGTAAGAAATTAAAAGGAAAATGAAAAAAAAAATGTTTCAAAAGAATTTGGTATTAATACCTTTTAAGTTTTGTGTGAAGAGCTGAGATAATTTCTTGGAATTTTTGGATATCTCAGTTTTATGAATTTTTGGGATATCTCAGTATTTGGATTAGCATGCACGTTTCATAAAAATGATAGGTATGTCCAACTCAACTGGTTACCGGAATCTAAATTCAAATAATGACATTTACGCAAATATATAAATTTCTAAAATATCTAGATACTTACATAATCGTATTTAAAGATATTTAACCAAAAAAGAAATTATATAAAGCTAAAAAAAAAACAGATTTTTGAATAGAAAATTAAGAAATTTTTGTTTAAGGAATTATATGTAATTCAAGCTTCCAGAATGTTATATTATATGTAAGTTTTCTCTAGGGTAAAATTTATGTAGAATTATACGTAATTATGTAAATGATAATAATATAGTATATACTTAAATAAAAATGTTATTTGACACATCATATTTGTAATTTAATGTGTTAAAGACATCATATTTGTAATGAAAACGATAACTCTAGGAGAACTCGACAAAGAATGAAAACGATATCAATCAAATTGATTTGTAACCACAAACAACTACAATTCTACAAAGACCATTTTAACTACGCAATGTTAATTAACACATTTGTAACCACAAACACATAAAAAGATATTACAAAAAACACTATAAGTATGTTTTGGTGATTAAATTAATCAAGTTTAGTTACATGTTTATTGTATGCCTCTTTTTCGAAAAATATATATATATAATAATTATATAATTTAAAGTGAGCTCCAAACTTTTCCCAATGAGACTTTTTGAACAAAGCAATTCTTAATATTATTCAAAAATGCATGTGACTCTCAATCCTATTGATTTCTTTCGAGAACGAATTTAAAAAAACCAAAAAGTAGATGCTTTGATTTCTGATCGTACGTATAACTTAGACCTTTACACATTACCAACCAAATACCTTTGTTCTTTTTTTGGTTAAAAGTTGAAATGTGGTAACCTTTTATGGACTAGTGTTTGTTAAAGAGGTCTTTATACAAATCTAGATCGAATAATATAACTTGTTGTGGATTTTTGTATATTTTGAACTAAGTTCCAATGCTGATAGAACATAAACAGAACAATGAGTATTAGTAGTAGTAACATGTCATCATCAATGATAAGTTAGTGCGGTTGTTCTCTAGCTCAAGTTTCTGATATGCGTATGATGAAATTATTTAACTATTTATAAGTAGACAAAGATCTTGTTCACAATATGTATATTGTTACATCTATTATTTGAAAAAATTTTATACACTTAGTTCAGTTTGAACTTAGCAAGATACTCCTATTAGTTCAATTAGTTCAAACTTTGAAATATATATTGTTACATCTATAGTAATTATTAATACAATTGCTTCTTAAACTCTTGATCGACCAAAAAGATATACCAATTGTTACTATACTAAGAGCAAAAATATGGACTTACAATTAAGAAAGTAGCAATGAGAGCAAACCATATTATGGCTTTTAGGGTTTCGCAAAAACAGGTCTACCCGGTTTCATCTTCGGTGCATTGCCGGTTTTTCTCTTGTAATTTTTTTTGATAATGAGTACCTAACTGGATTCAACTGAGATCGTGGTTTTAGTTAATTATCCAGTTATCTATATAGTATTAAATCATAAACAAAACTATAAAATTTTGAATACATGTAATATAGTAGGGTAATTTTAACATTTGCACCCGCAAATTTATGTAAATTTTTGTGTGATGAGAATGAGGTACAAAAAAAGATGAACTAAAAGTATCGTTTAAGGGGTGTAGTGGGGACCAATTGAAAAGATATATATTTACTATAAATATAATATGATGATTAATAATCAAAGCTGTAAAATGCTAGCTTCTCAAAACACATTGATTTTGGCCTATACTCTCAATTTTTTTTAACGTCAAGTATGCCTCATACGTTATAAAACAATATATATAGATATTTATAAACTTATCGACATTTTTTTGAGCACTGATTTCATTAAAAATGATTGTCGGAATTTGAAATGTGTATACTGAAGAGACACTAGATAGATGATGCAGATGGGAATCATAAGGGACCGCCACGTCCGGAAAACTTCTTAGGGAACCACCCCTTAGAGCTAAATGGCTTCCCATCTATGGATCTGTACTTTCCATGGGATGTTTATTTTGGATATATTTGCTATATGGTTTTGAGACTTGGATCTTAATTAAGCTTTGGTTTTAACATTTAAGAAGGTTATTATGTGTGGTTTATGTATATATGTTTTGTTTTCTGTGATTATGTTGGTGTTGCTAATTGATCTATGCATGCATGAATACCAGATGTTTTTGATAAGAATGGTTAGGGTTACTATTTGAGGGTTATCCATGTTTTTTTTTATAGTGATTATGGTTTCTTTAGTTTAATCTTAGATAATATAATATCGTGATTTATGATTTATAGAGACATTTTAATTAGGGTCTTAATTCTTTTAATGAAATTTACATATCATCAATCAGTTAATTAAAAGTTGCTGATTTTTGTTGTACAATGATGTAATTAAGTCCCTAAGCTGACTAATCACATTGTTGAATTAGTACATAATTTGCGGCACATTATATAAATGAAATATTGCTCCAATAACTGAATTAGAATCTGAATCTCAACTAACTTAGAATAATTTCTAAAGTCAAATCTACATATCTAGGTGCTTCCATGGACCTCACATAATACTTCATGTCCTCTCGCGATCGAGTCCCCTCATCTATGACGCCTGCAAATTTTCCAATATATAAATACAATATTGTATACAACTATATATATTTTTTTGTTAAATGTATATGGAGTAAATATTCAAAGCCGACAATTTATCAAACGAGCCATTTATTATGGTTCTACATAACAAATTAAATTTTATAATACTTCATAGATCTAAGTAGTGTAGTTAAATATCTATGATTGGTCTCCTCTTACATACGCAAGCAGGAGATTAAGGGACAAACGTTAGTCAACTTTGCCTTTTGGAGAAGACTTAAGCCATTGTCACTCTAATTAAACATAGAGGTTAAGACTTTAATCTTGGCCTTAACTTCACTGGTATAGCTACATTTTCTAATCACTTATACAAACTTATTCAATTTTTGTTTAACTCAACTAATTTTCATTAATATAGCTGAAAACGAGGTTATCGGTCTAGAATCACGCAACCTACATATCATCATTTATATATGTTTAAGCCAAAGATTAATACATTTTTATTAGAAGTTTATGAAAAAATTAGACGTCGTAACAAAACTTAAATTCTAAAGTGAGAAATGCGGAGAAGGGACACCGGAGAGATGACTCGTAATTGTCATATTCGTTTTTGAAGCTTATATTAAAAATGGTACCAATTTCTGAATTAATAGCCCCACCATAGAAGAGTAAATAGCCCTACCAAAAACGTATAGCCTCACATGGTTTGGTCGAAGATTGCTAAAATGGCCAATCTTATCACTTGTGTGATGGATAGCTTTGTTTGATTGGTTTAAAACCGAGTGATCGATGTTACTCAATTCTTTTCTTGTAGGTAGGATTCATATATCTTTAATCATCTACATGTTTTATGGTATATTTTCGGATTATCCGATAAGTTTATAACAAATGAGTTTACCACTCTTATCTTAAATATCATACCATAATTAAATATAAATAAAAATAAATAAATATCACTAAAAAAAGAGTCTTAATCTTAAGACTTTGATTAAGTTAAGTTTTTTTGTTAACCTTACATTGAATATAAATTCGAAACCAGAGAAGAATCAAGATGAATCAATAATTTAAATCTAGTAGAAATAGCCAATTCTAATAATATATTGTTATACTAGAGTTCAAATTGTTGATATTCTAAAGAATTCTAACAAAAATCTAGAAGTTACGGATTTAAATAGCGAATGGAACACGATCATATAACCTGTTTTGTTTTTGTGTCTGAGTGTATGGATATTTATTTTATTTTTTATTTTTAAAAACGAACACAGTATAAAAACTGTAATGACAAAATTATTCAGTTTGGATTATTAATATATTCGTTGACAAAAAAAAAACCATAAAGACAAATACATCTATTTTCTTCCATAATGTAATTTTCAATAAGATTCTTACATAATGCATTAGTGTCATTATTTGACAAAGTCGTTGTTAGCTTTCCAAAAAAAAATAGTAATAATAGAAATTTAATAAGTTTGACAACGATTCATGAACATGCATCCAAGTCCAATCACATATATATGTTGATAAAAATAGGTAATTCGTTATTATAAAGTTTTAAACTATTGCTAAATCCAAGTTACTTCCATTTCAGTGTTTATATAATATACAACAACATATGATTACGCAACTCGTTACGTACAAGGTTATATGATTATGAATGCGTGCAGTTTTAAAATGAAATCGAGTTTAAGTTTCAGACTCAGTTCTGAATATAACAATCCAAAAACATAATATAAACTCTAGTCTAGATATATATATATGAAGTAGTCAAATCGTGTTGGATCTCCGCATACAACAACCGATGGTTGTAATAACATTTTCAATCTATTAATAGAGTAATTTTGAGAGCTACCGTATTACTTAATTTGTAAACATTATTATAATAAGAACAAATGGTTTCTTGTTTTTATGCATATGATTCATATCTAGGATACAACCAAAGGTAATGATACTAAATATAAAAAGTAACATGTATAAGACTATAAGAATATATAATACTTATACGATTGATTTGGTATAGTGACAAAACCAATCGTTTTGCTTTGGTAGAATCCGATGCGAATCACATTTACATGTGAGTGACATGGTCTTTAAAGTGGTAAGATTGGAAAATATCTAGTGAAAAATGTTTTTATTTTTGGATAATATGTTTGTATATAGTAGAAAAGTTTAGAAGAAAGTGTTTAATTTATATGGCTCAAATAAAATAATAGAGAATTAATTAATATATATTCTAATAAAGACGACGTCATTTTAGCGGAAAAAATATTCCCGAGAATGTTTTGTTAACAGAAATTTAACAGTGTATCTTAAATGGCCAAATTAACGAAATTAGTCCATTTAATTATAAGGTTACAAAAATTAAGACATAAATGAGATTTCGAAAATTCATGTTTTTCGTCCCAAATTAAAAAGTTTATAATTTTGTTTTGACAATTTTCTTCTTTTTTTGGTCAAATAATCATACTGACTATTTTCATAATCAGTTTGTACAACCTCTAGTGAAATCAATTTGTTTAGAATTTATATTACACAGTCAAACTATTTCACATATCGAATGTCACATTTTTTAGTAACTTTGAACATGTACCAATATTAGATAGGTTCCATGTATTAGACTATAGTAGTCTTTTTTTTTTTAATCCACTTTTAACTAATATATATCATTGGTTTTTTATTGGTTCTCTGCGACTCAATCGATCAAGAAACTAGTCAGAATCTACTTTAACGTCTTGTTTTTATCTCACAAAGATTTAAACCCACTTTAACTACGAATATGCACCAAAGTTAGCTAGCATTGAGTCATTTTATGTGATTTTGGTGGACAGAGAGAAAAGATAAAACAATGAATCTTGCCCTATTCTTAGTATAGGCTTATTGGACGGTTGATGTTATTTCACTTTTTTTTTTCTCCTTCACATGTTACATCTTAGTTTCAAGTATTCTATTCTCTCTTCATTTCTCATTTTTTACATTTGTAAATTATTTCCAAGATTTAGCATCAAATATTCGGATTTCACCAAAGGATTTTTGCTAATTTGGAGGTGAGCCATTGATTAAAAGTTTCCCACAAATCCACCCAATCTAGAACCTTAGTGACCAAGTGGTCCAAAAGTTTTCACACAATAGAATCGAACATGGAGCTTATAGCAAGTTTCACATTCTTGAATCTAGGCCCAATTATAATTTTATATTATATTTTCTTACATTAAGATAAGAGAACCAATTTGGAAACATAGTGATAAAAAAAAAGGGCTTCTTATCACATTTACGTTGCCTCTCTGATAGAAAACAAAATTATAATACACATTGGTTCAATAACAATATTATACTAGAACGTTACTAATATTGTTAGAACTTGTAGTGCAAAACTCTTGTTCTCACAGAAATAGGGATTCTTACATTGTGACCTCCATTGTCAATCCAAGTCAAGCTCCCAAAGTGGTAATCAGTATTTGATCTATGAGTCGTTGAGACTTTGACCGTGAATGTAATCTTGTTGGTGTTGGAACTGAAGTCAAGAGTCTCGGGACTAACCTGAAGGTTAATACCTTGAGGCGCTTGGATCATAGCTTTGTAAACTGAGCCAGCCGGTCCAACATTAGTCACGGTTCTAGTGATAGTGATCTCTTGACTGAGATATGGGATTGTGATGGATGGCAAGTTTACATCAAGCATTGATGGCATTGGAGAAGGGCAAGTGTTATTTTTTCCAAGTAGTTTTGAGATGGATATATCATCGTAGCCTGCAGAGCACAAGTAATGAACATATTCATTGTGGCCCATGTCGTAGACAAGTCCGGGATCCGCTACTTTCCCGGGGTTCACGAGTCCGCCTCCGTAGTCAAATGGGTCAGCGAGTTTGCGTGGTGAACCCTCGGCTGCAATAGGCTCTCCCGATGGGTCGGTTTGCAATGCTGAAATGGTTATTAAGTTATTACGCGGGTGTTTCTTGGGGATCAAGAAACAAATATTTTTGTCTGAATAATTAGTATATATATATGTATGTTTTACCCGTTGTAACGAGCGCGGATCGGATTGCGGCAGGAGACCAGTCAGGGCGTTTTTGTCTAAGAAGTGCGACGATTCCGGAAATGATAGGTGCAGCCATAGATGTTCCTGACATGAATTCGTATCCTGTCTTTGATGGAACAGCTGAGAGTATACCTGAACCTGGTGCTGCTATATCCGGCTGTACTTAAAAAAAAAAAGGGTAGGTTTAGTAACTTGTGAGACAATTCGAGTGTAAGAGAATAAATAGTAAAAATGAGTTAATACTTCACCTTGAGAATGGCAGGAGATATTGAATTGGGACCTCTAGACGAAAATTTTGCAACCTTAGTAGCTGAAGGTCGGCCAACGAACGTCTTGGTTGGACTGATCTTAGCTATTGGCTGTTTGGTTGTTTGGATGTACAATAGTATATCCATCCCAAGTTCGAAGTCTACATAGGCAGAAGCGATATCCGTACTCCCAATTTCGATATTATCTGATGGATGCGTCGCAATAATGACGCCAACCGCGCCTTTTGATTCCGCGAAAACCGCATAATCTTCTTGAGCTTTCCCTGGTTGGAAGTAAAACAAGATTTTTCCTTTAGCTCTACCAGCTTGAAAATCTTCTTTTGTCAGGTCGTCGTGGAAAAGAATTTCAGTGAATCCAACTTCTTTTCCAAGGTATACACCTTCTTGACCCTAAAAAAGGAGATACCACAAAAAGAAGAGTTTAATGAACGCTCACATTTTCTTGTGACTTGAGATACAAGCAACTGAATACATACCAATAAGGTTATATTGTTTCCAAGAGTGATGGGCGTGAAGACTTCTCTATCCATGGTTGTAGCCGCGACGGTGATGATCCACGGAGCAACGTTAGAGATAGTTTGAGTTTGAGGACCATCGTTTCCTCCCGCGCATACTACTGGAATACCTTTCATAACGGCATGGAATGCAGCAATCGCAAAATCACTCCTATCAACCTCGAAATCAAGCGGTACTGTGGCTCCGAGCGAGAGCGATAGTACATCCACACCATCGCGTATAGCGTGATCCATGGCCTTTACAATATCAGGTGTGAAACACTCCTCATTGTTCCAACACACTTTGTAAGACGCTATACGGGCTTTTGGGGCACTGCCTCTCGCGGTTCCTTTAGCTAGACCGTGGAAGCTCACGTCTTGGACAAAAGAACCCGCGGCTGTCGTTGCACAATGCGTTCCGTGGCCGACTTTGTCTAGAGGGGACATGACCTCGCCTTTGTTAGGCTTTCCATTGTACTTTTGCGTGATACCGTTTGAGTAGTAATTAGCTCCAATCAACTTCCTATTACAGCTCGATGCGTTGAATCCTTCTCCTGAGACACATCGTCCCTTCCAACGCCTCGGGATCGGTCCAAGACCGTTATCACTAAATGAAGGTGAATCTGGCCATACTCCTGAGTCCACAATTCCTACGATTGCTTCACTTCCCATATCAGTCTCATGCATGAGACCGGTCGGAGCGGTTGGAGTAAGTCCCAAGTAATCATTAACCCTTGTTGTTTTCAATTTCATATTCCTACTTCTTGTTACGTGAACAACATGCGGATGCGCTATTACAAATCCAAAATACAAGTTCAGTATTAGCTTCTTTTGTTTTGAGTTTGACCTAATTCTTGTTAAACAAGTCTTCTCAAGAGAAACGTTTCACAATGTACCTGAAAGTTCCCTAGCTTGAGATGATGTGAGTTTCGCTGCAAAGCCTGAGAAACCATGTCTGTAACTATAAATCATAGACTCACGAGAGGCTTCTTTGCTGCGTTATCAATCAAAACATATAAATTTGTAAACCAATATTTTTCTAACAACATTGTAAAACATATACCAATGCTTATCATTCATTACATACCTTCCAAGAAGTGGTCCGAGAATATCATGATGTGATTCAGTTACAAGATCAGGATCATCATGTTGCCTCATACCCAAATGCACAGTGTAAATCTATATATATAAATCATAATCGAAAAAGAATTAAAAATCGCGTAAAATAGCGAAAAAGTTATTAGCAAATTTTTCTTTGATAAACATACCTGGCTTTCCTCATTAGCAGAAGTAATTAAGGCTATATTGAAGATTAAGACTAAACCTATGAACAAAACTACAAAATGCTTGTAATTATTAGACACAATCAAAGAAGACAACAACCCCATGTTTGGGATTTTAAGGAGTTGTTTGCTGAGGCAGATTCTTTTTTTCTTAGAAGAATCTTCCAAGATTATAGAATTGTTGTTTATTTTCTAGAACTACCTCAACAATGTCCTCTCTGATTGCATCCCAGAAGCATAATGAAGATTATGTTCAAGTCATCTCGTTATTTAAATTGAAAGATTTGGTTACTAACGTTGGGAGTTTTTTTTTTAGAATGTAACGAAGCTAAATTTGTAAATTTTGGGGTAAGTCTGGTTTATGGTTTAGAACGGAAACGGATTTGTTTCCTTTTTTATTTAATTGGTGTAGAATTAAAACGAGTTAAGAACTTAAAACTTTTCATTATCTGTCAAAAGATTCAAAAACCCATGTTAAGAATAATTAAACCGGGGTATTTTTTCTGGTTAACATATTGAGGTTACATTTAGGTTTATAAATTTTTGAAGGTTTACAAAACTTAATTTTTAAAAAAAAACGTAGAATCTTAGGAGTAATTGAACGTTACCGACCTATATGTTTGTTATAACTTATGATTATTCAATAAAACGATAGATATTTAATTTAATGATTTGGGATTTTTTTGTCTTTATTGTGTTATTATGTTATCATCCACATTTAAATTTGCATGCATGTTGTTGGTAAAAGAAAATTAAAATTAAAATTAACCAACAAACATATATAATTGTGTTATATGTCACATTATGAGTCTACGTGTAAAATGTGAAATCGAATTCTAGAGGTTATAAGGTAAACATATACTCCATTCCTTTTTTTCAATAGTACATTTGATGTTTAAGGTATTTGCATAATTATTTTTGTTTATTTTTAAACTAAAAACATTTTTTAGTTATATATTTAAACATAATTGAACCAATATAATACAACAATTTACAGAATATATATAGTAACAACCAATAAAAACTAATAAATTTTGCAGTAAATCGAAAGCATCATCTATTTTACAACAAAAAAAACTTCTCCTAAAGCATTAAATAAAAAAAGGTAGAAATATTTTATATTATAAGAAAATGTAAAATGTGATATGTAAACATTATGTCTAAATAGTAAATACACAAAATATCAAATTGTCAAAAACATACTCAAAATATCTTTGTCAAAAAAGGAAAAATACGTTTTAGGATAGTTAAATCGACGTTTTTTTAGTTCCGTACGAATAGTATAACAAAGTTTAGTGTCTAGATAATCTAATAATTCTTTACTAAAACAACGATTGAGTCTCTCTACAAACCACGATTTTGTTTCAAAATTGAGAAAATATTGTAGAATTGAGATTTAGCTTCGAAATTACGTAAGAAATTGGTGCCAAAATCGTAAAAATAAATAATAATAATTAGCTTATGAAATTGTGTAACATATGCCAGTTTGGTTCCTCTCACCTAGAAAACGAGGCCAGAGCCCAAAATTTAATTTACACAACCAATGAATCCAATGAGTCATCATCGCTTCTTCATAGTGTTCTTGGGAAAAGGTATTAAAAACAAACCCTAACTCTTAAATAATATTCAGGTTTAATCCTTTAGGGTTTAGATTCGATCACTTGATATATATGTTGTTATGATACAAATCTGAAACCTTATCTATTGTTTACACATTAAAGTTAGATTGTTAAGAGTTTATCTATCATCCTTGCTTTGGAGATTCTTTTTAAGCGCATTCTTTTGTTTACATTTTGTTTTTCAATATCTATTTATAGAACACATTATGAGTTCTAATAGGACAACAACACCAAATCTCAAGAAGTCTCATTGCTCAAACCAGATCATTCCATTATAGAAGATGGGCAAATGAAGCAAGAAACATCCTCTGATGACTAATTAAAGAGACACATAACAAGTCAGGATTAAGATGTAAGAAAGGTTTGTGAGGTAATGAAATAGATTTTGTTCTTAACTGTTAATCCCCCTGGCAAACTAATTTGATGGATTACCAAAATAAAAATCCCAAATTAAGCATATAATAAGTTAAATAACCTATATGATATTTCAATATATTCTTTTTTAATTGGTATTGTTGTTTGTTTGTTAACTGTATTTGGTAACATGGGCATGTATATTTTTAGAATCCGGTTGATTAGTTGTGTAGTTTCAAGGTTTCTTATATATGAGACAAAACAAAAGACATGTCTCAAGCAAACTTGTAATGCAATAAGAAAACCATTCTTGAGGGCAAAGATTGTTATTACCTACACCCTCTAAACCAGAATGGGCAAATCTTTTCTGATTGTAGATACAAGTTCTCTAGTCATCAGCCTTGTCTTGATCCTAAACGGAGTGTTCATCTCCGCGGTGCAACTCAATGGCAAGACCAAGGTATGTAATGTTTTCTTCTTCTTTTTCTTTTCATTTTTTGAGTATATATTGAAGCTACTAAGTGGTATATGAAGTTATATTTTCTTTTGTTTGTTTCGATAATTCTAGGTTCATATTGTACACTTGGGAGCAAAGCAACATGATACCCCTGAGCTGGTTACTAAATCGCATTACCGAATTCTTGAATCACTTCTTGGAAGGTACAAATGTTACAATGTTGTCAATGCTTTTTGAGAATACTTATGAGTGTATGCTCATTTTCTTCTTTTTTATGTTTTGTGACATTAGCAAAGAAACTGCCAATGATTCTATAGTTTATAGTTACAAGTATGGTTTTTCTGGCTTTGCGGCAAAACTTACCGCCTCTCAAGCAAAGAACCTTTCAGGTACTTCATTTTTATAAACTCAAAAGGAACTATGTGTGAAATCACAGTCTAATATATATGTTTTGTATCAGTGCATCCCGAGGTTCTTAGTATTTCGCCAAATCGAGTAATGAGGTTGAAAACGACGAGGACATTCGATTACTTAGGACTTTCTCCTACTACTCCAAAAGGTCTTCTACATGATACCAAGATGGGAAGTGAAGTTATTATTGGGGTGATGGACTCAGGGATATGGCCAGAGTCAAAGTCATTCAATGACACAGGTTTAGGACCGATCCCAAAGCGTTGGAAGGGGAAATGTGTGTCTGCAGATGGATTTGACCCCAAAAAACATTGTAACAAAAAAATCATAGGAGCTGAGTTCTTCACTGCAGCTCTTCTTGCTGACAATGAGGGATATGATTTCGCTTCAGAGTCCAAGTCCCCGAGAGATATTATCGGCCATGGGACACATGTCGCTGCAATTGCTGCTGGTTCATTTGTTGCTAATGCAAGCCATAAAGGACTAGCTGTAGGAACCGCTAGAGGCGCGGCTCCTCATGCACGTATAGCTGTGTACAAGACATGTTGGAAAGATCTTGGATGCTTTACAGCCGATACAGTCAAAGCAATTGACCACAGCATACGCGACGGAGTTGATGTTATATCCCTTTCCATTGGTACTGATGCCCCTGCCAGTTTCGATGTCGATGTCGATGACATTGGATTCGGTTCATTCCAAGCCGTAATGAAAGGCATTCCCGTTGTTGCTGCTGCTGGAAACGAAGGACCTGACGCTCAAACCATTGATAATGTTGCTCCATGGATTATTACCGTCGCCGCAACAACCTTGGACCGTTCTTTCCCAGTACCCATCACTCTTGGAAATAATCTAACTATTCTGGTATGTTCCAACCTTTTGATTCTATTTTTTATTGTTTTGTTTCTATAATAAATCAAGATTGTGATTTCATTGTTCTCTCTGACTGTTATAGGGTGAAGGTTTAAACACATTTCCTGAAGTTGGATTTAAAGAACTTTCATTATCAATGGAAATGTTCAACGATGATCAACCTAAAGATTTAATCGTCCTTGCGTTTACACCAAACGCTGTCGAGAGAAGAAGGGTAAATAGCATACTTGAAGCTGGAGTTGCTGGTATAATCTTTGCACAATCTGTACTTAATTCCGCGGTTTGCGCTGGCGTGAATGTTCCTTGCGCCGTGGTAGATTACGAATTCGGAACTGACATCTTATACTATATCCAAACCACAGAGTAATAATCTTTAACCAAGTTTTTTTTTTCTCTAATTATCATTCCCTTTCTTGTTTTTTTTTCTTTTTTCTAACACATGAGAAACATTATGATTCTTCAGAAAGCCTTTTGTAAAAATAAGCCCTGCCAAGACAATCATTGGCCGGCCTGTTGCCTCAAGAGTGGCTCATTTCTCTTGTAGAGGACCTAATTCAGTTTCACCAGCAATTCTTAAGGTATGTTTAGTGATATATTTTTTTTTTCTTTCCAGACACATTGATCCAAGTGTTGATGAAGTTTGGGACTATCTATCTTATGATAATGCAGCCAGACATAGCAGCCCCGGGTGTCAATGTTCTTTCAGCTGTAAGTGGTGTGTATAAGTTAAAGTCGGGAACATCAATGGCGACTCCTATTGTGTCCGGAGTAGTTGGATTACTTAGAAAAATACACCCTGATTGGTCTCCAGCTGCAATCCGATCCGCTCTTGTCACAACAGGTTCGGATTGAACAACCTTTGCAAATAGATGTTTTAAAAAAACATGAAAGATACTAAACATGTATATCTTTCTTTGTTGAAATGAAGCATGGAGGACTGATCCATCAGGAGAGCCAATATTTTCTGAAGGAGCAACGCGTAAACTTGCTGACCCATTTGACTATGGAGGTGGCCTGATCAACCCTGAGAAAGTAGCTGACCCGGGCCTCGTCTTCGACATGGGGATCAATGACTATGTTCATTACCTTTGTTCCGCGGAATACGATGATGAGTCCATCTCCAAACTAATTGGTAAAACTTACAAATGCCCTTCGCCTTTGCCATCTATGCTTGATACCAACATGCCTTCCATCATAATCCCAAGTATCTTTGAAGAGGTCACTGTGACTAGAACCGTGACAAATGTTGGAGCCGCTGGTTCGGTATACAAACCTTTGGTTGAGAGTCCTTTTGGTATAGAGTTTGATGTGAACCCCAAGACTCTAGTGTTCGCTTCCAAGAATACTAAGATGACGTTTAACGTTAGAGTTAAAACGAGTCATAGAGTGAACACTGATTTTTTCTTTGGTAGCTTGTGTTGGACCGATGGAGTTCATAACGTTACTATTCCTGTTGCTGTGAGAACAAAGATCATGAAGAACTATGTTTTATAATTTTTTTACTTGTAACTATATATAGGAATTTTTATTTTTTTGGTAATGATTCATAATACAATCAGATATTAGCTATTAACGTGAGCGTTGAGTCGTCGTCATATTGGTGTCACCAAGGACCATTCCTATGATAACTTTAACATCCATCCAAAATAATTATGTTTTTTTTTTTTAATCAGATTATCCAAAATCTGAAGATATTAGTTTGTTTAAATATATAAAATTTCATTAAAAACAATAATATTTTACCAATTTTTCATTTGATATCCTTTGAATAATTTTTTGTGATCCTAATATTTCTACCCCACTCATCTTATGGGTTTATCGTATTTGTTGTTGGCGTACATATGTTTTTTATATTGTTTTGCTACTGATTCACAACGATTTTTCAATACTCAAAATATAATATTTCAGTTAGAAAAAAAAAATTAACTTCAACGATGAAGTTTTCTAATCCCAATAGTTAGACTAATGATTAATTTAATATTTTTATACAATAAGGTTTTTAATTTAATTTCTAGATAATACGATTTATTAATAATTATCAAAATTAGCGGAGACAATTTTACACAAGATTTCTAGTGATATATATTTAAAATCGTTATTTCTGATTCTAGATATTTAAAGAAAAAAAAGTGTCGTCAAGAGTTGAACAATATTTAAAATGTTCAAAATCGACATAGAAAATTAAGTGTTGTTAATTGATCGAAAATGTTTGTTCATAGTCGAATCATTTAGATAATAGAATTGACTTATAAAAATTAATAAATTTGATTATAAAAGAATAAAAAATTATAATATCATTTTTTTTAAAATATTCATATGTTTCCGCGTGATAGATTAATAATAAAAAATAATAATTCCATCATCTATTCTTGTTTTTTTGGATGAAAACAAATAAATAGTCGACAAAAAAAAATACTTTTTTTTCTATTGGTTTTGTTGTTTTGGACATTTTAAAGGACGCACGAGAGTGAGAGAATCAAACTTTAAAACTAAGCAAAGAAAAAAAAAAAAAAAGTGGATGAGGTGGCACTTTCCGACCAAAACGTTTTGCGTCCACTCCTCTCTACTCATTCCACGTGTCGTTTTGTCCACACCTCAGCCATGAGCTATACTTTTAGAACTACTATACATAATGCACCACTTTGACAAAATAATTTGATTAATATATCAATGATTATGAATAATAATAAATAAAAGTAAAATTATGTGAAAAAGTTTGTAATCTTGCTAATATTATTATTCTTATCTCCATATATCAAAATCGTGTTTACTGTTTCGCAAAATTTGTTATCCGACTACATTTAGTTTATAGTTAAATCTAGAATCATAATTATTTAATTTTAATTCGGATAAAAAAAAATAACGTGTAATTTTATGTAGGATAATTTTTATGCTGTTTTTTTAAAAACAAAAATCGCATAAGAAAGTTGAAAAAACAACAAATATTAATGAAAAAAACGCGATAATTTTAAAATAAAATTGATTTATGGATGATTTTTATTTATTTATGTGAATTGAGTCAATTCAATTTGACCATATATAATAGAATCCTGTATAAATATGTCCTTGGATCTTCTTCTGTGTATCGTTTACATGTTACATCACCATGAGCAAGATTGTGTTTTGGAGAACCAAAATGGATTTTATAAGCAACCCAATTTATAAACGAGGCTACAATGTTGTATATATATATATTATAAGGTATTGAATCACATAATACACACACACACACACACAAACCATATTTAAATATAAGATAAACAAGAAAATAATATAGAAATGAAACTTTATTATCATATCCATGGATTTATATTTATTTTAAAATCGCCAATAAAAAAAAAAAGCGAAAATGGACCACCTGTGTGTGAACCAGATATGAAAAGGTTGAATTATAAAACCTTTGTTTTTTTAAAAAATTTTGTAATATAAAATCTTTAGTGCTCAAACTTTTCTATCCTCGCATTCTATTTGCTCTCCTTATACATATATTTGTATGCATATATATAGGTGGTTGTCAAGCTTACCCAACTCTCTCTTCAACTTGCAATAACATTAACTCTCTCAGGGCAAAGACATAGACTGAGAGATAGAGAAAGCTAGAACACAGCAGCGTATTAAGTCAGTTCTGTTCAAGAATCCAAATAGAGTCATAGAAACCATAGAGAGAGAGAGATGGGGAGACAACCATGCTGTGATAAAGTAGGGTTGAAGAAAGGACCATGGACTGCAGAAGAAGACAGGAAGCTCATGAACTTCATCCTTACCAATGGACAATGTTGTTGGAGAGCTGTTCCTAAGCTTGCTGGTCTTCTTAGGTGTGGTAAGAGTTGTAGACTTCGTTGGACGAACTATCTTAGACCAGACCTTAAGAGAGGTCTTCTCTCTGATTACGAAGAGAAGATGGTCATTGATCTCCATTCCCAACTCGGCAATAGGTTAACAAACTTTTCTCTTACTTGAGCTTTACGTTTCTTTTTTCTTTCTCTTACTTGACCTTCAAGTTTCTATATTGCTCTGTTTCTGAGGTTTCGTTTATTGTATGTGAAGGTGGTCAAAGATAGCTTCTCATTTACCAGGACGAACAGACAACGAAATCAAGAATCATTGGAACACTCACATCAAGAAGAAGTTAAGAAAAATGGGGATTGACCCTCTCACGCATAAACCACTCTCTATCGTCGAACAAGAAGACGAAGAACCCGTAAAGAAGCTACAGAAAGTTCAAGTTCCTTTACAAGAACCAGTCAAGAAGACTCTGGAGGAACCAAGCAACACCAAGAACATGTTAACACTTGAAGAGCCTCAAGATGATGATCAGTTCATGGCAATGAATCTTGATTATGGTCTTGAAGATGTTCCTCTGATGGATCCAGAGTCTTTAGAGCTTATCTGCAGCAACTCAACAATGTCTTCATCCACTTCCACGTCTTCGAATTCTTCTAATGATTCAAGTTTCTTGAAAGATTTGCAGTTTCCAGCAGATTTTGAGTGGTCCGATTATGGTAACAGTAGTAATAATGAAGGTGTGGACAACATTATAGAGAACAATATGATGAGCTTGTGGGATGTTGATGACTTTAGCAGTTGGGATTTGCTTCTTTCTTCCACTTTTGGATTGGTTTGAATTCATTTTTAAAACTAAATGGTCTCTTTTGTAAAAAAAATGAAATCATTGGGTTGACATAAAAACCTAAAATATACCAATCTTTACTCTCTTTTTTTGTGGGAATTTGAAAGAAATTTAGAAAAAATAAAAATTAATATGTATTTTTGTATAGCGACCAAAAGAGTTTGAGAGATTTGTGTCTTTGAGGGTCACTTTTTCTTTTTGGCTTTGTATTTTTGGGTTCTATACTTCCACGTATTGAGGCTTACGATCACATAGTTTCATCAATAATACATACTAATTTCGGCTTGTGGCATTCCTTTGCTCATTTATGAATAGGGCTCTCTTCACTTATTAACATGAATTTATTGCAATATCTACCTAGATTCATGTTATATAATTAGATTTAGGTGAGACTTGAGAGAGAGAGAGTGAGAGATTGAGGTGTAACAATAGAGTAATTACTCCATGACTTTGATCATTAAGGTCTTTGAAGATTACAGTGCCAACAAATTTTGGTTCTTGAGTAAAGAGGTCAACTTATATTTCAACTTTTTCATAAACATAATAATATGTTTTGGATTTGTATATAATTATATTCAATTTTTTTTTTTTTGACCAAAAATTATATTCAAATTTATAATTAAAATTTATTGTATCCAATGTCAATCAGTCATATATATTTTACGAATATTATACTAAATCCGTTTTCGCAAACTTCTGCAACTAAATCCACATATGGATATGCTTTAAAACCAGTGAAATATTAGATATTATACATTAGAAAAATTTAGACCTTAAACCGTTAAATCAATAAGTATGTTACAACCCTGATCAAGTTTGGTTTGGGAAAATATAATGAAGCATTAAACTTGGGATACAAATTAGAAGAGGAAACTTTTACTCTAAACAAATAAATCACATTATTTCTTGGTTTAAATATAAGATAGACATATAATATTTTAGACAAGAATTCAAGTTTTGAGTAGTACTATAATTTTTTTTTAAAGATGAGAATTTACACTACTCTAATTAGCAAATTAAAGTATGTATCAATATTATGAGAATAATAACAATGATATTATACATATCGCATAGATTACTAAGCTATTTTGTAGATTTTATCATCACGTAAAGAATAAGAAAAAATGAATATATATATATTAATGAATAGGATTAGTGAAAGTGTTAGCATTTGTATAAGATATCATAATAATAAGGTAGTTCATGTACATCTTAATTTGCCTTTGTCTTCACTTAGAGAAAATCTAAATACGTAGTTTTCGCTTGTAATCTAAAACCGTAGAATACGAGTAAAAGTGACTTCGTTCCAAACCACAAAATTCTCATATACGTTTTTCAAAATGTTCCCATTTTTTCTCTTTATACGACTTTTGTTTTGGTCCAAAGTTTTGACTTTGCACAGTCGACATAAGTTCATATAACTCATTTAACGATGCTTTACAAATCCATACGCATGCAACATTTTATTATCAAATGAAAATGATGGCAGTTTTGTATACGGCGTTCCAAGAAAAGTCGAAATAATTTAGACATAGTCATAATATACTAACGTAAAATTACATATATAAGGAAAAATACAAGTCCAATGTTTTTACTCTTTCAAAATCCATACTAAGTAGATTAATTTTTCGGCTAGTGTATTTTGATTTTTAAGTTAAACAATAAGTTTAAGAACATAACTTTAAGCATAAAATTAGCTGTGAATTATTTATTAAGATTAAGTAAATCCTCTATTTTATTAGTCACATTATATGCGCCAAATAGTCATATTTTTATTTTGACATTCACACCAAGTAGTTATGGTAATTACTTTCAAACAAATATTACATTCATATCATCAAGATGGAAACAAAATTTATTGTTGTGTAGTTAGCCTGTTAACTGAAGTAAGGTACAGTTGGTCTATCTGGTAGTCAGAAATGTAGAAATGTAGGTCTGATTATCCTTTGCCATTAATCGGAAAACATTCCAAATTCGGAACAGACGATATAGTTCACTTAAAAACATTTTGGTACGTTTTTACCGGGGACTGACCGGATCAACCGATATAGTTTATAAAAGTAAAAAAAAAAATCGGTGTTTCTAAGATTCATTTAGAATCTACTAGACATAACTAATGTTCATAAGGATTTATGAATTTTATGAGTGGATGACTCATTATGAACGTGGAATGATACAAAACTGTAAAAAGCCTTTATCGTCATGGAATGTATGAATTAAATGTGTTGGCACTTGGCAGAAACACACATGTGTGCCTTGTTGTGTACATCATTTTGAGTGCATTACTCAGTCTCAGCGTCATGCTGACCTAAATAATCTAAATAATGTTTTAAGAGTAATAGAGTTGAACATTGTGTCATGTGTGTGTCTTCTATTGAGTCAACCTTGATGTGAAGTATATATATCATTTTCTACCAAAGCACTTTGTCCTATAGGAACCGCGTCATCCTAAAACAGTCAAAACTAATTTTGATAGAGTTTATAGTGATTTGCATTATTGTGGATATGACTTCTTTTTAGTTTCTTTTTGAAGGTGATTTGGTAGATCCTATTTTTAGTTTAGTGGATTATTTTTTGATCAAAAGTCACTAAAAATGAGCTTTGAGAATGTTGAAACTTGATTGGTTGAAAAAATTAACAGCAATAATTTTAAGTGATCCAATTGTTCACTTATAATTGGGAAAAAAATAAAGGTCCTTTTAAAGAAAATAAAATAAAGTGAATGGTTGGTAGAAAAAAGCTACTTAGGAGTTTGTGTTTGTGTGGGATGAGAGAGCTCTCCCCCATAAGTTAGTTAATCATGAAATGAGAAGACTCTTATTCCAGCTTTTAGTTCTTTTGATTTTCATATTTCTTTTTAGAAAAGTTTTTTGAAATATATAACAATTCTTTAGTTGATTTCTATATTACAAAAAAACACTTTCCTAGTATAATTTATATTGTTAACGATATAAAACGAAAATTGTCTTCGTATTGCATTCTTTTTTCTTTAAACGGCAAAAAAGTAAAAAAATAAATAGTACAAACCAAAATCTTTTTTTATCAAATCGAATAAATCTCACATCTAGATTATTATTATTTTATTTTTGAATAATTAAGAGTTTCTGAGCCGAAAAGTTCGTACATCCCCTCATATCCGAAACCAGAACATGTTATATAGTCTCATCCCAAACGCTATTCGAACCTGCGACCTCTAAATTTTTGCGAGAGAATATTTTCATTATCATTGATCATGTTTTGTATTGCCATTCGTAACCATTATAACTTTAATTTATCTTAATATAATGAATTGGAATATTTAGTCCCAAAAAAAAAGAAATAGAATGTACTACATATTTCTTGAATATTCTATCGATCAATCAATTGTTGTCACGGCTATATTTTTAATATTGAAAATTTCTGTCTGCATATTATTATGAGCCTTTGTGTCACTTTATCTTCAATTGCATTTTTAGTGAAACTATTTCTTTTGCATTAATCAAATCCAAAAGCTTGAAACTAAGGTTTCAAAAATGGGACACATGTCATGGAATGTGATATAGCTTAGCTATATATGTACATATCTATATACAAATACATTATTCCTTATGTACCACTAAAGCCACTTTTTTCTTTTTCCACCGAATTCTAAACAGCAATGTCGATCTTGTCTTCTTTTTATTTTCTCTTTTTCATAGGTCTAATTGGTAACGTACTTAAAACTGTAAAAAAACTGTAAATTAGAATGGTAAACTTTTACGAAATAGTGCAAAACTAAAAAAAACGGTATATAAAAACAATATAAATAAGCAGAAAATAAAATTTTTCATAAAAATTTTGGTAAAGTTTTGTGATTGGTAGAAATAAAAACTGTAGTATTTGTAAAGCTTTTTATAGTTTCACCAATCAAAGCCATAATTTGGAATTTCAGAACTTCATCTCCTCTCTAAATGTAACACAACTTAAAACTGAAAAAAAAATGTATTACACATCTTTTAGCTTATTGAGCCAACCATGCACTTGGCTCTTGTCCAAATTTTATTTCCAAAATTGTTATTTGAATGTTTTCATTATCATGAAATTAAAAACAAGAAAAGAAAGAAACAAAACGCCGTATTCTTTATAATGTGTCATATGGTCGGTGCATGCTTTACTATTCAACGAACTATACCAAACAAGATAAGAGTTCATGTTATATGTTTAGTGTTTAAGGTCGGTTCCACGGTTTACTATGCAAAGAAATAGTACCAAACTGACTAAAGTTCGATGTGTATATTGTCCACTATATATACATATGCAATGCCAATGAAATTAACATGATGAACTGAAATTATGAACTTGTATAAGTCTTATATATTCAAGATTTGCAGTTACAAATGACCGAGTTTCGCGGTTTAAAATCGGTGTTTCTCTCTAGAAAATTTCTAAATTTAGGATTTAAAATTATTTTATATACGTAAAAAGAACTAGTATGCTTATGTATAAGCTAAGATTAAGTACACGTACATATATTTATAGTAAACTAACGTTGCAAATGACCGATTTTCGCGGTTTAAAATCGGTGTTTTTTTCTCGAAAATTCTTAGATGTAGGAGTTAAAATTATTTTATATACGTAAAAAGAATTAGTATGCTTATGTATAAGCTAAGATTAAGTACACATACATATATTTATAGTAAACTAACGTAAAGTTACACATATAAGCTATATTATTCATAGTCAATGGGTTGAATTATTTTATTTTCTTATGTTACGTAGCTTAATCCACGATCAATATAGAGGACCCTTGAGTTTAATGTCGAATTGTTATTGGTCAATTTAAAATCGTATATAACCCAATTAATGATGTTTATGTACGTACGTTCGTAATTAAGTTTGTACATGTGAAATTAAGTAAGGAAGTGGAGATAGGTGGAGAGACATAACTGGATGGGGCAGGCAGATAATGATGATAATGTCTTCCATAATGGCCCATCCCAATATCTTTTTATCGTGACACATGATTTTTCCTCTTACCAATCCTTGAATGTATTCATTAAAATCATTATCTTAAACTAAAACACTATTGAAATATAAATTAAATAAACAAAATTATATATCTTACCGGCTGATCCGATGAGTCAAAAAAATAAATATGTCGAATTGTTATAAAAATGAGATTATTTGTGAATAGTCACCATAACTGTTTAACAAAAAGTTAAAATGTTTTCCGACTAAAACGAAAAGATAGTCAGATCATATGTTATCGGATTACTAGATAAACCAAAATAAGTACCATTGGCTTACCGGCTTACGCGGATCGTAAGCAATGTACCTGACCTAGATTGCGAGGTACTATTAATATATTTACATAAAATTTGTTTTTGGTCTATTGGCTTGATATACCTCTCCTAACATGGTTGATATATGTTAAAAGTTCAAAATTTGGTTTGATCTTGTAATTCTCAAATATATTAAGTTTATGTGAAAATGTATCATCATTGGTCATAAAATATTCTTTTAAAAGCCAATCTCTTAATAACGAAAAATGGTGATATTAGCCTTAGAATTGATATCCATAATTTTATGAAGATGGATGATATAGTAAAAAGCCACCACCATATGTATATAACAAACAATATGAAAGGAACTAGTCACAATAAAATGATTAATCATTTAAACAAGGCGGCAGGATTATATTGGATCCACAATTTCATGACACCTAAGTTTTGTTTGCTTTAGAACAATATCTTTATTAATGATTTAGCATTATAACTACTTCAGAATATTTCAGATTTGTCAAAATGTTATATACTAATCCAAACCCCACATTAGAACTAGGTTGCATTTGTCTCAAGAGAAATGGAGTTAGTCACATTAAACTTAAAAATGTTATACTAATCGAGAGATAATTATGGTTTTTTTTTAATCCACATTAGAACTAGGTTACATTTGTCTCCAAAAAAACAAAATCTGTCTGCCATCTTTACGTAGATGGGGAAGCTTTGGTATAGATGGCATTGAGACAAACTAATCTAACTTAGTTATACTATTACAAAGTCTCTTGATGAGTAGTAGGTTTTTATGATAAGCTTGGCTTGCTTTGAGCTTAATCTCACAATCTTTTGTTTCTCATTAATATCTTGTTTCCTTAATTCTAAGATCATAGGCTGATGAATGCTTCTTGATTGAGATATGTTCTATGTAAACTCGTTCTCTCCAAATTTGATAACCTTTGAGTTTTCTTCAAACATAAGTTCGATGGACTTAAAAACTGATGCTCCAAACCAAAGCACCACAACATGAGACAATAGCTTCATAATACAACCATAATCCAGAAAGATGTGGATCAACATGGGCTAATGTTGGGCATACTCAGACCCTGTATTTAGTTACCCAAATATGTGTTTGAAAAATATGTTTTCTATGTTAACTAACATTAGCCCTTGTAGTGCTGCTTGTTTGGATAAAACTGAAGACAACATTGACAGAGAAACTTGTACATAGTTTTTGTACATAGGTTCAACAAACTTGTTTGTTCCAAACTCATACTGCTAAACCAAACAGTAACACCATTGAAGGTTATGTAGAACATTTTGTTAAAGATGACAGATTAATATTGGGAAATGATAGGTCTTATTAAAAAAAATATCACAAAAGACAACAACTCAAATGATTAAACAGAAGGGGGTAGCTCCAGAGATGAACCATTCAACAGGATTCCACAGAGATTTTATTAAAAACAAAACAGAGAGACACATGAAATGCTCTGCTTCTCCCTTAGGCCTTGGCAGTTTCACCCTCTTCCCAAAAAGCCGTTTTCTTTCCGGTTTTCGATACTGTTTGCAATACAGCGTCTGGCTGCACGTTACCTTTCACCGTCACTTTCTGCTCCTTTATATCCACATCAAACGACTCCACGCCTAAAACAAAATACCCGAGTGAAGCAAAAGATGTTAAAAAGACTGCAGGTCACGAGAGCTTCACGATCTCTATTTCGTCGAATCCACATGTTAATACTAAATCAAATGATACGTCCGTGCTTTTGAAATTGAAGCAAAAGAAGTTAAAAAGACTGTAAACATCGCAGATTACGCGATATTGACAACCTCTTTTCGTCGAATCCATATAGTAAATGAGATTGGTTTAAAGCATTTTGAGACACACCATAACATATAAACATCAATAGCCAAAGATTTTAAAAGAAACACTAACCTTCCATTTTCCCAAGGACTCTTTTCACAGCACCAACACATCCCTCACATGTCATAGCCACTCTGAGAACAACAGTCTAAACCAAACAAAGAATATAAACACAAACAACCCACAGCTTAACACTTCTGTGCAGCATATATCAAATGAACAATACAAGACATCAAAGAACCTTTAAAACAGCTCTAGTCTAATCAAATTATCTAAAACCAAACACAAAACACCAAACCCCTTTTGTCAGATTCAAGATCTCCTCTGTTCAAGATTATGTCTGTATCCTCACTACTATTTAACCCCAATCAAGGTCTAAAGTCTAGAAATTTCAATAGATTGATACAACCAGAGATCAGTGTTACAGCAAATTAAGTCACAAATCATATCTAGATCGAGCGAACAGAGAAGGCAATTCTAAATAAGATACAGAACCTAATCAAAACACGATAAAGGAACAAACTTTATGATGACCCAGATCGTGAAATTGAGATTTTCATAGAAGAGCGATTGAAAAATTACCTGAGACATAGCTTTTCGATTCAACCACAGTGAAGGCTTGTAAGAAAGAGAGAGAGACTTGTTGTGTGATAGAATTGATAAGCTTTGGAAAAAGTCTCAAAGATTGTTATATACTAATAATATTTAAAAATAATAAAAATAGGCATAAGTGGTTTTAATGGTTTAATCATGGTAATCAAAACCGGTTTAATTGAACATTTTCATTTTTTGATTAACTTTTAATCGTTTGATTGGATTAATTTCAAACGAATTTAATCGAATTACCGGTATTACTAGAAAATAACCGAACTAACCAACACGATGTATGCATCTGAATAACTCGTGTTACCCGAAATTAACTGAAACTAAACCTGATTTATTTGTTTTAACTGATCTAATCAATCCGATTGAATTAAACTAACAAAAAATCTAAATTATTTGGTTCACTTCGGTAACCAAAATAAAGCCGAAAACCTAATAACTGACCCTAACATAACCATTATATAATTCGGTTATTTTTGCTAACTCTTTTCAAATTCCGAACTATCCAAATTCCGGAATTATCTACACGAATTACCTGACCCAAAGTCACAAGCCTAAAATTATACAACAAAACATACTTAATTACTTGTTTGAGCCTTTCTTCACTAATAGACCCGTCACAAAAAAAAAAAAAACACAAAACCCAAGCCCAATTTCCTTGTTGACTTCTTCTGTCGTTGACTACTTCACACAACAACTTCATCTTCTCTTCGACAACTTCTTCGTCTTCCTCCTCCTTCCCTTTGCTTCTTTTTCTTCGACTAGTTCTTTTCTCTTCTTATTGCAAGTTTAATGGAGGACTCAACTCTCAACATATATGATATGAGATCAAATATCTAATTCAACTCGCTGTAGAGATTAGCAAAGAGAAGTAATATTTTTGTAACTCGTACCGCCGTGGTTTAGTAGTAAGAGAGAATTGGGGAAATGTTGAAAGAAACTAATTTATGTTTGATCCAGAAATGCAGGCGGCCTTACCATCTCATGACATTAGTCGGAAAGCATTTCAACTCGCGATAGAATCTATAAAAAAAAATTAATAATTTGTAACTACATTGATACATATAGTTGTTAGATCTATAAAATGTATTCATGTTATAGAAAACACTTGATAACATACAGCGGCATGATATATACATTATGCATAGATTATGTATATTCATTCAAATAAATATTGACTTTTACTTACTAAAAATAGGAGAAACTACAAAAATTTCGAAAATCTGTTTAATCCAAATATATCTATATATTACTAATTGCATTAATTTATCTTCGATCTAAATTTTGGTAGTTGCCAAAAAAAATCTTCAAATGCTGGTAAAGTTCACACGTAAGACATAGTTTTGTAGTTGTCGTAAATTCTTGTTTTTGACATGATAGTTGTAAGTTTTGCTGTTTATAAGTTAAAACCGTGTTTTATTATTAACAATTTCTCAAAACTTTTATTAAAAAAAAAAAAACAAATTTCTTCTTTTGGGTAATCATTATCTTTATAAACAACTTTTTTTTTTCTATTTTTTACACTATCCTATATAAATTGTCGAAGACTATATTTTCCAAGTATTGAAATCAAAAGAAAAAAAAAAACTGAAAATGAAGAAAATAACAAAAAAGCTATCGATGAAATATGTGAAGCTCAACAAGAACAAGCTTAGGAAAGAAGAATCCATGAAGTTAGAAGAAGATGGTCGCGAGCTTTTTCAAGAAAATTATGCATTAGAAAATGCAGAAAATAATGAAACTAAAGAGACACCTAAAGTTACAAAAGTTATGGAGTCCATGCAACGTAAGCTAACGTTAAAAGAGAAGGACCAGCTTGAACGTTCGGTTAGAAATGGTGGTCGTGCTCGTAAGGACCAGCTTGATGAAGGTTTGGTTAGAAATACGAATCTTGATGTAGGTTCAGTTAAATATGGTCATATGGATCATCTTGAAGATTTGATTAAGGGTCGTGACCGTATAGAACATATTGAAGGATCCACTAGGAATGTTGCTTGTAATGGTGTGGACAAACTCGAAGGTTCTAGCAAAAACAAGCAGAAACATCAACGTGAAGCAAATATTGTTAAACCAAGCGATCAAGTTGATCAATCAGAGAAATCAACTAAGTGTCCTTCTGATTTTGCTTCAAAGAAAGACTATATTGATTGGATTGAATATGTTGAAGGATCCAATCATCATTGTTTCGATCGATCTGAAAACTCGAATCAATCTTATAAAAAGGAGGATATCGATCGAGACCAGATGAGCGTTGCAGTGTCAGAAGGATCCATTGAGGGGAACAACGAAGAAATACTATTACTTAACAATTCTAAGAATAGAAAAAACGAGAAATTTGATGATTTAAAAGGTTATAAGAAAGGAAGAGGTAGCAAGGTTAAAGATTCATCGAAATTTCAAATAGTTGACTAAATATTGAATGACAAAAAACTGAGAAAATATTTCTTTCACATTGTATTATATGATCATTGATCATTTAGTTAGTGTGAACCACTACTATGTATAATCACAATATTCAGTGATTGTTTTCATTTTAATGAAAGAATTGTATTATAACACGATTTGTTATCAGCAAAAAAAAAGAAAGAAAAATTTGTTGTTTCAACTTTATAAAAGAAGTGTATATATATGTCCCTTAGATATAACGTCTTCATGAAGTTGTTAATCATAAATTAAATATCAATAACAAAAATTATGATGTTAAAATCTTCACAATTATATTAATTAGTAATAACATGATTCTTTCCCAATCATCAAAAAATGTTAAACTATTACCAATTCCTAGCAAGATTCATCATTTGTATTTTTTACTCCTTTAGAAAACAAAATGTTGAAAGGCACTAAATTAGGGACAACCCAACGAAAGCTAATAGAATTTATATTCTATTTTTAAATCTAGAATAATTGGAAGATAAAACAATGAGGCTTTTCACTATATGCTAATAACATAAATTAAAATTCGTTTTACTTCAAACATTATGTCAAAAAATGTCAATATACACTTTTTGTGATTCTATTGCATTTACGAAAGCCTATCAATGTACGTTTTTTGAGATTTAATTGGTTTTCTTCGACTGTAGTTTGGAAGAATAAACTCATACAAAGTACTCAATGTTTTTAGTTTTGAGGTTTTTTCCATCTTAAAAAAAAAAAGATATTCTGTTAGATACATTGCTTCATTTATTTGAAAAATAAATTTGAGTAGAATCATTATGCTTAATATTTCCGTCGACGCTAAAACAAAATAGTATTAAAAAAAGATGGTCTAAAATGAACGATATACGCATCTCAACTAATTTTTCACAATCAAATCCCATGCTAACAACTATTCAAAATTGAATATGTTGAATCGCAAAGTCACATAAACGAGAGTAAATTTAAAGAATATATAGTATTTGAACAGTTTCACAAAACTAGATCTCATTTCAATCGTTATTGTCTCTCTTGGTCTTCGTCTTCGTCCCCAGTAAGGTATCAAGGTTATTCTCCACCACGATCGTATCTAACTTTGTTTCCTACATCGGCTGAATTTTTATGGAGTTAATCGACGTTTTCCTGTCGCCGTAAAACAATCGCATATCTTTGGAGAAGAAGGAAATTAATTATCTGTTTGAAATCCTAAATTTTATTAAGAGTAAACAAGTCTTTTTCCACATCAAATAGAGTATTAATAAAAATAGTCATCAAAAGAAGATAATTATGTAAAAAAGTAATTTTAAAAGGTTAGTTTTGCAAATTCCTTTAACAAAACAAAAAAAAATAAAACGTAAGTTTTAATATATTGTTGCATTTTTTAAAAAAGTTAACCGTTTCATATAGTATGGGTTATTAGGTAAAAAATACGAATTAATTCAATAATCACAAAAGCAAGATAAAGAGAGAGGGAAGCAAACAAAAGAGTGGCAACGGCTATTTCGTAGTTACCAATCGTTTTTTGCTGTCCAATGCACAACTTGTTCTTACACCAAAAGTTGTGCTCTTAATAACTTACATTTACTAAAAAAACAAAGGAATCCAAATTTTGTTTTTTATTTTTTTCCTTAAAATATATATAGCATAGTTTCACGTGTATATTTCTCATTTACATATATAAATTAAGTACTATGTTTCACACAATTATACTAAAAAAAGAAAAGAAAAAATCCAAAAAACTACTATTTGCTCATTTTTGTATGTTTAATACATTTATTTTTCTGATTCGAAGTTTATTTATTTTTGTTTACATTTTTTTAGGATTCTCTAATCATCGGTAGATTCAAACACTTGAATTAACAAACGTTAATCGATATTTTATAAATATTAAAAACGTTTTTCGAATCTACCAATAACTAAATAAATGTCCAAAATTTTGTTTCAAAATCTCCGTTCATGATAAAAAAAAAAAATCGTTCATGATAAAAAAAAAAATAGTTTTAAATTCTTCATTTATTTAAATTTTCTTAATTTTTTCTTAATTTATTTCAAATTTTTGTTTACCACTGAAAACACCAAGTAATTAAAAGAAAAAAATAATAATTATGACCCAAATTTCTAGGCTTTTTCTTTCCCACAGTACCACACTCTGACTATGTAAGTCTCATTCAACTACAAAGATCACACAAGACCGTTAGATTTCATCTTTTTTGACCATTTTGAAATCTCAACTTCAAATCTTAACCGTTCATTCCACCGTTACTTCTCTTCTCTCTGTACAGTGTACACTCTCTCTCTCTCTCTCTCTCTCTCTCTCTCTCTCTCTCTCTCTCTCTCTCTCTCTCTCTCTCTCTCTCTCTCTCTCTCTCTCTCTCTCTCTCTCTCTCTCTCTCTCTCTCTCTCTCTCTTTCGATATAATCAACAAAACTTTTTCCCTTTCATGTCCTTTGTCTCCTCAGAAAGCTTTAACCCTATTTTTCTCTACATCATCGTCCCACGCAATTTCTCCTCTCATTCCTTTCTTTGTGGGTTTATATTTATTCCTCACAAAGTTAACATTTTTAGACTCAAAACCAATTCTTTTTTGCCATCTTCCTCTGTTTCTTGTCTCTTTGGGTTATCTTAGATTCTCACCAAAAAAAAGTCTCTCTCTCTCTTTCTCTCTTTCCATGGCTTCTTCTCTTCATCTCCATCTTCTTTTGTCTCTTTCTCTTTTAGTTCTTGCTTCAGCTGCTCCTTCCCCTTCTCCTTCTCCTTCTCCATCTGATGAAGGTGAGTTCTTGTATCAGATTCAATCTTGGGCCTTGAGTTTCAGATTCAATCTTTTTACTACCCATTTGAAAGTTTTGATTTTTGCATGTGTTTATGCTCTTCTTGTACATAAAGGTTCGATTTTTAAGGTTTTACATTGTCACTGATTAATGAAGTTATAAGCCTTAATGTAAAGTAATTTTTTGTTATGTATTATGTGTTTGATTCATTGAGTGTGTTTGAGAGAGTGGTAGGTTTATGATAATAAATGGGTAGTATGTGTTTTTGGCAGGTGGGCTTGTTTTTTTTAATGCTCACTAAGAAACAAGAATGGTGAATTTTAATGTCCTTAGAACATTATTACAAGACAAAATAATTCAATGTCTTACTGTGTTGACCAGAGAACAGTTGTCTTCAGTAATGTCTATGAATCCAAATCTTGCTGTGGTCTCAAATGGATTTGATGTACCAAAAATAAAGTACAAATCTTTCTGTATTGTGCTCTGCTCTCTTTTGGACTAATGGGTTTTGTGAAATCAATGTGTAGGTGCTTATATTGGAGTTAACATAGGGACAGATCTTTCTGATATGCCACATCCAACACAAGTTGTTGCTCTTCTAAAAGCTCAACAAATCCGACATATTCGTCTTTACGATGCTGATCCTGGGATGTTAGTTGCTTTAGCAAACAGTGCAATCAAAGTTATCATCTCAATTCCTAATGACCAGCTTCTTGGCATTGGTCAGTCCAATTCTACTGCGGCGAATTGGGTTAAACGCAATGTCATTGCGCATTACCCTGCCACGACTATTATCGCCATTTCTGTTGGCTCGGATGTGCTAACTAGTCTCTCTAATGCAGCACCTGTTCTTGTCAGTGCTATAAAGAACGTTCATGCTGCTTTACTCTCGGCGAATCTTGACCGGTTGATTAAAGTTTCGACTCCTTTATCTACTGCTTTGATTCTTGATCCTTTTCCTCCTTCGCAAGCCTTCTTTAACCGTTCCTTGAATGCGGTTATAGTCCCGTTACTAAGCTTCTTGCAGTCTACAAATTCGTACCTGATGATGAATGTGTATCCTTACTATGACTATATGGAATCAAATGGAGTGATTCCTCTAGACTACGCGCTGTTCAAACCGATTCCTCCTAATAAAGAAGCTGTTGATGCCAACACACTTGTTCGCTACTCAAACGCCTTTGATGCAATGATTGATGCGACGTATTTCGCTATGGCTTTTCTAAACTTCACAAACATTCCGGTTTTGGTAACCGAGTCAGGCTGGCCTTCGAAAGGTGAGACCAATGAGCCTGATGCTACACTTGATAACGCCAACACTTACAACAGCAACCTCATCAGACATGTTCTCAACAAGACGGGAACTCCTAAGCGCCCAGGAATCGCTGTGAGTACTTACATTTACGAGCTCTATAACGAAGATACAAAAGCAGGATCTTTATCAGAAAAGAATTGGGGGTTGTTTAATGCAAATGGTGACCCTGCTTACATACTCCGGTTGACTAACTCGGGCTCGGTTCTAGCTAACGATACAACGAACCAGACTTACTGTACTGCAAGAGAAGGTGCTGATCCAAAAATGGTTCAGGCAGCTCTTGATTGGGCTTGTGGCCCTGGAAAGATAGATTGTTCACCTATTAAGCAAGGAGAGGCTTGTTATGAACCGGATAATGTGATCGCGCATGCTAACTACGCGTTTGATACATATTATCATCAGACTGGGAATAATCCTGATGCTTGTAACTTCAATGGAGTTGCTAGTATCACTACCACAGATCCTAGTAAGAAATAAAAAAGCTTCATTTAATTATACATTACATTTTTTTAACCCTTTGGAGACAAGCTAACTTTTCTTGGTTGGTTGTTTTAATGCAGGTCATGGTACATGTGTGTTTGTAGGAAGGTAAATTATCCTAATTGTTTAACTTTTGTGTTTAATCTTGGTTTCGATTGCTTGATTTGTTACGGTTTATTTTTGGTTCTGGTTGGAATTTAATCAGTGATATCCTTAGAATCGTTAAAGTAAGTTGGTTTTCAGATTGGTTTATCCTAATTGCACATTCATATTCATGGAAGTCGCAAGTGTTTAAACTTGTTTATTTCGGTTTCGTGATCACTTCAGATTAGCTTTTGGTTTGTTCGGGTTAAAAAGAACGATTTCATATCAAGTCTTGTTATGATTTTCTTGAAGTTTTTTGATTAGTCTTTTCGTTCTTTTTAATCCGATATCTTCACAAGCTAATCTGAATCTTCACAAGTACCAATCTTGATTCATTGTTTTCAATTTGATTGCAGCGGCGTTAATGGTAGAAACGGGACGTCTGTGAACATAACTGCACCATCTGCAAATTCGACGACGAGCTCTGGAATACAGAACGAATTGTATTACAGTCGCGGTCTATGGAGCATTTTCACAGTGATAATTTTGAACGTTGCTAATGTGTTCTTGTGAGAAGTATTTTAAACTTTCCTTAGGGTGGGATTGGGAGTTAGAGTTGAGAGATCGTTTGTGTTGGATTCGATTTTTTGTACACAACAAAAAAACCAAGAAAACATTCTATTTGGTCTCTCTATTTTTCCCATGTTCGTCGTCTCAGATCTCAGACATTACTGTGTCACAACATACAAGTCTAGCTATTGAAATCAAGCAAAATAGCTATGCAACAATTAATGCACAAGCAAATATCTAAAGTAGCAAGCTTTTTCATTTACAAAAACAAAGAATCTCTTTAACTTCGATGATAAAAGTGAAGAAAGAAAAGGAAAAAAAAAAAGCAAAGCAGAGCCATCCTAATCGAAATCAAACCGAAACCAGACATTGGCACATCTGAGGTATTAGTCGAAGACTAAGAATAAAAGAAACATAAAGTACATGACAAGATGTGAAGTCTTGTTTTGCTTAAGAGATGTTCATAGCTTCAGCATGATAGCTTTCGAGATCTTTGTCGAGGTCTGCAGCCGATTTCTCCACCGGCTTCTTTCCACCTCGGCCGCTTTTATTATTCCCTCTGCCACCACTGGCACCTCGGCCTCTACCACGGAACCCGCCTCGGCCACCTTTTACACCTCCTTGTTGGTTTTGTTGGCTGCCACGGATAAACAATATTAATGTTAAGATGATAAGACAAGTACATGATCCACCCATATGAATGCGAACTCAGACTCTTTCAACACTTACGTTGTCGGGCGTCTCACAGAAGGGCCTGAGCCTCTTCCTCTTGCAACTCTCCCACCTCTAACTCCTTGTCTGCAATAATCAGTGAGAACATTCACTTCAGCACATAAACTCCACAATCATTCTCTTGTAAAGACAGGCCAAGAAATGGCAAACATACCCGATGAAGACACTCCTCTTCATCCTTCCATTCAATCCAGTCACATTAACCCGAGTTGCAACAGGAGCAGCCTGAGTACTTCCACCCAGAATCTCCAGTCTCATAGGCCTTCCATCCAAGAGTACATTGTTGTATTTCTTCATAGCTTGAAATGCATCACCGCTTCTCATATACACAACTTCAGCCGAGCCCTGTATGAGACAGAGCATCAGATGTCAAATATCAGCAGTGCAGTAAAGAACATATCAACCAGAGCAAAAAGGAAACAAAACTTACACTTGGACGCCCATTTTTGTCATAGTGAATTGCATATCTTTTCAGCTCTCCAATCTCAGCATAGAGTTCCTAGATTGCATAGGATAGTAGAAACTAATTTCAGGAATATCCTCGGAACGAAAACAACAAAAGCACACTGGAACGTAGAATGTCAGGCTATACCCTTATATCTTCATTAGTCACTCCCTGATCAAGGTTGGTAATATAAACCGTGGTTCCAAGTTCCACTCCTGATACCCCAACAGCTCTCAGGCTTTCTTCAAACAAATCATTCTGATTCTGCCATGGCAAGTTCCTCTTCCTGCGGGCAAGCTAATCCAGTAGAACAGATAAAGTCAGCTAAAAGGGTCTGTAGAATCTTGAAGCCACATTAATCAACAAATTTCTTGAAAGAGGAGAAAACACCCATTTGGCTGAAAGTACTAAAGCAGTCAAAGCAAAGAGCTCCAGGAAGTAGTCAAGAACCATCGAAATGAAACGTAGGGAAACATGCAAATTTGACTAACTTCATATGAATCACACTGGTGTTATCAGTCAGTCTCTGAGGCCAAAAACGAAGTCCTTGGACCAACGAAAACAAAAACCAAGACTGCCATCACACTCTGAAGAAATTCCAGATGTACCATCGTGAACTTCATGCATAGTGCAAATATCCCCATTTAAAGGGATAAGCCATCATAGATCTTATTACTGTTTAAGTGAAATTTCTGAACTTCCCCCCTAAACCCACACATATTGCAGGCTTTTCCCCATGTGTTGCTGAACAACACCAGATAACCCTATGTGGACGACTACTTAGCTTATTGGAGCTCCTCAGTAAAACTATACCGAGTGACAACAACCAAAAACTTCTGCACATCTATGCATTCCTGTCGAAGTCCCCAGAATTTAACCATAAAAACCACTAATTGCAGGAAAGAGGCTTTTCTAAGAGGTTAGAAGATTCTTGTAATATGAATTATCATCAGAAGTAACAGTTTATGCATGTATGCGGAAAAATCTGCTTCTCCAAGGACATGAGAACATTTAGGAACCATCCATCTTAAGTTTTAAGCATGCTTCGGTATTTCGTGGGACAGAAACTCAGATTTCCAATCAAGATTTCGAGCTTGCCTTGTTTATGGAGAAGGGTGATGGCCGAGCATTAACAGCAAGAGGACCTCTTCGAACAGGTCCAGCTCCTCTTCCAGCTCCTACAACACCATTATTAGGTCCACCACGTCCACGTCCACGGCGAGAAACTCCTTTACCTCCAGACTTTGCTGCTGCAGACCTTGCAGTCTTACTCCTCTTGACAATTTCATCTAGGGTCATATTCAATGCGTCCGACATCTTCACTCCAATAAAATCAAACTGGTCACCCACTCAAAGATATTACCTGCACTCATAATGGTAAGAACATCAAAATTAGTTTATCACCCACACAATTATAAAACACGAATTGTCAATCCAAGGACATCAAGCAACAAATATAATATCCAATCCTCAAATACACGAATCAAGAACATGGCCAGTGAAAACGAAATTAAGCAAATACAAAATCAGAGTATAAAATACAGAAAATCAAGGGATATGAACATAGTTTCATATTCATCAAATACACAATCAAAGTATGAAATACACAAATCAAGGACCTGATCAAGATAAAAACGATGAGACTCATAGATCAGATCCGATTGCTATTAGATTCTATCAGAACAGACGAACCAAATAGATTCCTAAAACCTTAGAACACGTTTATCATCAACGATACCAACAAAGAAACAAGAAATCACCACAGAGAAATTGACGAGAACTCATATAGATCGAAGCCCTAGATCTAGATTCGCCAAATCGGAAAAAGTGAAACAGAGAGTGAAATCAATCAGATGAATCATGAATCGGAGCTTTACCGGAGAAGAAGATAGAGATCGTGAAATCGGCTAGGGTTCCGACGAAGCTTTTGGGGATTTTTTTTTTTTTTTGTTGAGAATTTTGATGAACGAAGGAGGGAAACAGAAACAGCTGTGAGATTGATTTTTACGGGTTAACACGAAAGTGAAAGGGTAAGGTATGTATTTATATAGGTCTAGGTCGGCAGGGTAGTTATGTAAATTTACTAAATGTTTGGGGGCGGTTTGCGTCTTTTTCCGAAATTAGACAATTACCAAAAAGGAAGATTGAGATGCCAGCTAATAGTTTCACGATGAGGACTAGAGTTTTGGAAAATTATCAAAACCGCCCCAGATGTTTTTAATTGACATTTTACAATCCAATCTGCTATTAACATTGGAACAGCCTGAAACTAATTTTTGTATTTTCATTTTTAGGATAAACAGTATAAAGAGTCTTTTCATTATGTAAAACGAGAATTTTTCTCCCTCCAAATATAATATTTGAAAGCAGAAGCGTAGGAGTATGTCTTTATCTCTAGTCCTGTCTTTTGGTGGAGACATTCTCAAACATGTTTCATCTTAGAAAAATGCTCCTCAATTAAGATGATTTAAGCATTTGATATACTAAATATGATGATTTATTGCATGGTCTATATGGAGTTTGAGTTATTGTTTGTTTTCCAAAATTTTATATTATACTAGCAGTTGACCCGCACTACGCGCGGGAGGTTTATAATTTTTTGTTAATTTTTTATTCATATTGTGATATTTTATTTATTTTTAATTGATTTTCAAAACATATTATAGTTATTTTATCTTGAATTATTATGTTTCAATATTTAAATTTGGATTAAAAGCATTTTCTTATTGATCATGTTATAAACTAATATTTCACTTTCAATTTTATTTTTTCCCTTTAAAATTTTATATATACAATTACATAAATGTTGTTTTTATTCTACCATAAATTTAAAATTTACTTGCATTCTTAAACTCAGTAACACATTTAAAATTTTAAACTATGATCAATTTAAAATGAAAGTTGAATTATATTAATACCACTAACTAATAAAAAATGAAAGTATTTCTTATTTAAAATTTTATTTATTTACATAATTTATTTTTATTTATATAAATTTTCTATTAATTAAATAAGTAGCATAAATATGCACTAAATGAATGTTTTAAATTTATTTTAATGTAAAAAAATGTGGCTTAGGTGGATGCTTAGGTGGCATCATGAGAAGAGAGAAAAAACTAACTTTATATATATAGATTAATATTCATTATGTTGGGATGCATTGTTGAAGCCGAAGCAAAAGAACATAGAAAGTCTTGTTGAATTGATGTTTTAAATAGATTTAAATTAGCATAAGCTTTTACTGGATTTTAATTTCAATGCATTTATATGGATTTTTAATGCATATAACGTGGATTTGAAATTCGTTAGTAATGTACTTTTGGAGTTTTGGTGATTGTTGTGGATGTTTTGAGATTTGAGCTCTTGATTAAATCCTGCAACAACAAAAAAGAAGAAGACGACGAAGAGCAAAAAGAAGTAGAAGATGATGTCGTGAAAGTGTTGATGGGTCATGATTGAATAATGGTGGGTGCCTTTCTTCTATGGTGGTGTGAGATGTGGTCAGCCCCGGCTCAACATATTCTAGTCACTTGCGCAAAAAAAATATTTTTTGGATATTTTTTAATTAAAATTTTGTTTTCAGATTCATTTGAAGTTAAATTTTGGGCCTTCTTAAGAAAAGTTATACTATGTTCTTACCAAAAAAAAAAAAAAAAGGTATACTATGTTATAAAACTTTTTAAAATTATATGGGCCTTTTAAAAATAAAATTAATAGTTTTAATAAAAGTTTGGACCTTTTTACTAAAAATTTTGGTCCCTTTTCTTATGTAAATTTTTTTTAAAAAGTCATAGTCCCCTGGGCCGTGGCCCCTTTGCGCACCTCATTTGGGCCGGGCCTGGATGTGGTTAGGTCCAATTGCTCGATGCAAGTCGGTGTCACTCTTTCACGGCAGCCATGAGTTGATGTTCCTACGTTCTGCTTGGTTAAACGGTACAATATATATGGTTCAGATTTCTCTAGGCTCGGTTGCATGTGGGATGTAGATATAGTTTTTGGCAGTTCACCACTTTGCAAATAGATTGACAGTGGAGCTTTGGCAAGTCACTAGATGGCTAGTTATGGTAGATCCTTAAATGGATATCAGTGGCTGGTGGCTTGCCTGAGGCAGCTCCCATCTTTTGTCGATATGTCTAGCTTTCTTTTTGCCGAATATGAAGGGACGATGCTTTGGAGTTGTTCAAGGTTGTGCGTCGTCGGATTTGAGGGTTAGATGCGAGGTCTATTCTTGCTAGGTCAAGGATATTACTATTGGATCTCGGATTTGGCGAATCTACCTTTTCTAGAAGAAAATTTATGGGTTTGATTTGTTTCTTGATGACGGTCTGCGGCAAGTTTTGCTAGCTCTAGTGAATGATATAATGTCGAGTTCGATAGTCGCAATCGCAAATGAGTCATCATTGCTAACATTGAATACAGAAGGTGAGGTTTTCAGATCTCGTTTTTGTGGTCTATGATTTGGACTTTTCTTTTATCTTTATATTTTTTTGGCCCGTTAAATTTAAGTCCGTTAGAGTTATAAATAAATAAAATTTTATAAAGGAAAAAAAAGATGTCATAAAAGTAAGGTCAACAATAGAGAGGAAGAAGCCAAGTCAACACAAGAAGAAGAAGTGGGCTTGTGCTGTTTTGTAATAATGACTAATGGGCTGTAGATAGAACAGGGCCAAGTGAAGTGTTTTGTTTAGTTTAGTTTATAGTTTTAACTAAAGTGTAAGTTAAAATTGAAGTGAGTGGTGTAGAAGCCCCCTTGGCCTAATGGTGTTGACCAAGGGTTCAGTAATGCTTCTACACCAGGAGAGCCGGCATTGGTCAGCGAATGAGAAATAATGAATGTTCATTTTTATTACAACATTTCCTACTTTTTAATGTAGTTGGAAACCTTTACAATACAAACCATTTATCTCATACTACTTCTTAAAAAATTTGGAGAAGTCACATTATGTAGTATGAATATCATGTAGATTGAGTTATGCTCATAACTCAAAATTATTACCAATCATGATTGTTTTTAAATTTTGAGTTAGACTTTGAGTTTTATTTGGTTATGTTTGACTTATATATATATTTGAGTTATGGTCTTTGTAAAATTGTTAAATCAAACTCTAATTTCAAATCATGGAAATTTTCATGAGTTAAGATGTAATAAGTGAGTTACCTATTTTTTTAATTGAAAAAAGTCCAGTTATATAATAAAGCGTATATTCTTTTTCTTCTTCTTTCATATACTCGTATAGCAATAAAATAGAAAAATGTTTTTAGAGTCTTAATTTTATTAAATATGTTTTAAAATTTCTTAGTTTTTCCAAAATTATTGCTTTTATTTTGATTTGATATATATTAAAAAGGCATAAATTTAGAAATGATAAGATTATAAATATTATGGCATGTAGTTAGTTACTTTTTTAAAAAAATTACTACAGTAACAAAACGCTAAAATAAATTTTGTATAATAAAACTATTTTGTTATTTATAAATTTTAAATTATTGTTTTATTTATATTTTTATTAAATGTATCCACGAATAAATTTTTATTAACCATTATAATTATCAATAAACTAAATGAAATTTACTTAAATAATACATACATCAACATCTATAACAAACAAAAAAATCACCATTCAATGAATTTAGTAACACTAATAAATCATATTTTTACATCGATTTACTACATCAATTTACCATTTTTACCACATAATTTTTTACTGCAAGTTAATATTAAATATGTAACCCGACTTGAATAACTCATGCTACCAAACAAAGGCATTAATATAATTACATAAAGACAACTTTTTATGTTCTTGGACTAGGTTACGTGCGGATTGTTGAGTTCTCAAGTAAGTAACTCAGAAATTTCATCTCTATCGTAACCCTTTCCAATAGAGATGCCAAGCTCCAGTCAAAATACTAGTTATCTCCTTCGGGAATATAGTAGATTACTGATATAAATGACCAAGTGAATGAAAGAAGACTGATTAATTAATTAACTAATAATGATACTTTCCCGATTTGCATCATACAAAAGAAAGTGCAGAAATTTTCTAGTAAATTAATTTTCATACGACGATAAGAGATTATTTAGATTCAGACAGCTAAAAAAAAATTGGTAATACTCCATCTGTTTCACAAAGAGTTTCATTCTAGAGATTTTTCCTCGATTATATTTGAGAGCTCACACATAAGACTTTGAAATTTTCATTGTGGCTTCTGTATAAAGTTAATAAGCTTTCTAGAACTAAGCAGACTGTGAGATGAGCCTTTCAAAAGCCAAATTGTTGGAAAACTTAACCGAAACTAGATCAATAACTTTGACAGACGGTGAAGACTGAAGACGCAAACTCATGATTAGGCAATATTGCGTCACGCAGCTTTAAAGAAGCCAAGCTCTCACACATGTAAAGTATTAGGAGGCATCTCCACTTCATCCCACGAAACATCGAGATGCTGAATTTTTTCGCGTAATTAACGATAGTGTTGATCCACCGCGTGACATTAGTATTATCAATCTCCATATCCAGAACAAGTTAAAATTTTCTAAGGACGACTCAGTTTTAAAACTCAAGAACCTATCAGCTTCAGCTTCACCAATTTCACCACTAGATGCTTTGGCAAGAACTCGTTTCAAGACTTTGTGAAGAAGTGGCACTGAGTTGGTGTGGTCAAAATGAAACGATAACTATTAGACCTAAACCTAATAGGACAAAGTGGTTGCCAACACAATATATTTTGATAATTTTATTACCTTTGGAAAGGAAGAAGCCTAGAAGTAGCCACTTAACTGGCCAGGAGTTTTATAGTTTAGTTTCTAGAAACTTTTATAAATCTTTTGACTCTTCAAAAAAATCTTTTCCATTTTTGGTTCAATCGAAATATTTAAGACAGAACATATAATCTTCTTATGATCTACAACAACATATCCAAGTCACCACAATAAAGAAGAAAACAAAGAGTACATGGATGGATGATAGTATATTTAACACTAGA